GACTTTCCGGAATACATGGTGCTGAGCCGAAAAAGTGGCCAGGATCTTCCCTTGCTCTTAGGGCGCCTGATGCGGGGGATTGTGATACGAGTGCGAGATGTTGGTGGTCTGGGGATGCGATGTATTCTGTGTCGACGTGACGTCTTTCAGACGTGGGTGATTGGGATTAGCAAGTGTCAGGCGGACAATATGTGGGATTGGGCGTCGAGTGTCGAACCAACTGGTTCATGGCTACTGAGGCAAATGACATTAATGCGGGGCGCTCGTAACCGAAGGGTATAGTGTTGCTTTTTCTGCATGATGTTGCGTACACAGCGTGAGATAAGGGGTATACCATTACGTCTTGTCGTATGGAGAGAAGCTGAGAAGCTGCTCTAGATTTGCACCTGCTGTTTGTTCTCGCATCCAAGCGGTACTACCAGAAGCGGATATCCGGGAGCGAATTGCTCGTTCTGAATTGACTGGGTGAATACGGCTTCGTTTGATTACGTGTGCGAGTAGCTAAACCGAGGAGATGCTCGTGGCCAGTTTTACGCGAGGGAAAAGACGTTGTCAGACATTAGTTTGTCGTCAATCTCCATTGCCCTCATGTAAACATCCATATCCAGTCGGCAAAGCGACAAGTCATCGTAGATACAAACACGTTACTGACCGAAGATGTAGCGAGGCTCCATGATGCTTGTGGCCACTGCGTATACGCACTTGCTCGTACCAGCATGCAACTATACTACCTTTTAGCTTAAACATAACCATGCGTATATAGTATACGGGAGCTGTGAAACTACTCGAGCTTACCGAACTCCATTCACACAGATCCATCCCACATTGTGCACAATGTATAATATCGTACCCAAGTAGGGATGCCCTCAAGCAGTCCTTCACACTGTTCCACCCATGTGGACCAAAAAAACACTACCAATTACCTCAAGGCAAGAAAAGCAACACACGCACTCGTATTCCATGCACACTCATCATCATCATCATCATCGTCATCATCAAGAAGAAGAAAAAAAAAACTTACAAGCAAAATCTTTCACGTCCCCTCTACCCCTTCCCCACATTTTCAATGTCACCCTATCCAATTCTTACCTACAGTTCCCCCATATCCGATCCCGACACCTCCTCAACCTTGTTTTCAGAAAGAAACAGGAAGAGAGAAAGAAGAACAAGCAGGAAAAAAAATCTCACGACATGTCGTATCGGGCGTGAATTGGAAGAGAGGGGGGGGGGTGATCGTCACGTCCCCTCCCCGCTCTTTCCCTTCCCCCCCCCGCAAAATCACCGAGAAAGATACGTTAATTTTTTTTTGTGGAAGAGGGGTCTCTCCACTAGGGATTATATGGACGTGTTTGCTAGAGGAAGTTTTTTTTTAAAGAAAAACATGTGACGGGAGAGGAAAGAAACGGTAGGTGTGTTTGAATTTTGAATTTTGGATAGTAGTAGAGTTTAGGAAAAGGGAAAAAAAAACCAAAAAAAGGGGGGTTGGAGGGAAAGGGGGCTGAGTGTGTGTGTGTGTGTGGCTTTGGAGCCATGGGGCTGTGCAGAAAGGAGAGATTAGTAGCTGGTAGCTAGTAGTGGGTAACAATCAATTAGGCTTGATACTAATGTGAGCAGGGCATTGGTTGCAAAAGGTTATGTCTGGTTGTTTCTAACTACTTTGTGGAGATTGAGGGGGTTGAGGCCGCTTTTTTGAGGGGCGCGCATTGATGCAATGGTGGCCAGTGAAAACACGTCGGAATGTGGGGGTGTAGTTAGTGTACGTGCGTCCAGAATGGGGACTTTTGTCTCGTATCTCGGAGGAAAAAAGGGAGTTGAGGGCAAAGACAAAAAGTGCGATGGAGAGAGATCCACATTGTTGGAGAGTGCGCCGATTTTTTGGAGTGGGGGCCAGTTTTTCTTTTTCTTTGTTCTCTTTTTGTGTGGTGTGTAGGATGATGTAGGTGGTGTGAGGAGTGTGTGTAGTGTACAGGGAAGAAGAGACAGGATGAGGAGAAAAAAAAGAGATTCTGTAATTTCCTTACGGGAGTTGTACGTAATGGACCCCGTGTTTTTGCAAGAAAGAGAGGCAGAGGAAGGGAGAGACGGGAAAACAAAAGATTGACAGTTACCACATACAGAGTTACAGGTCCGACATGCTCTTACCATATTGATACCTAAACTACTATGTACACTTATACGGATACACCGATCGTCGCCCCTGCAGATAGCACTAAGTCTACTACCCACCTTCTATTCTAGTACAACTTTCCGCAGCCGCAAAAAAAAAAGTACGACACAAAAAAAGGGTGCCATCAGCACCAGCACTGATTGAGTCCCCCCAAAAACCAAGAGCCAAAAGAACGCGGCTGAAATCACACGTGGCTATCTCCCGCAATCCCCAACGTCTCTGCATTCCCCGTGCTTCGCCCGCGCCTTTTTACCCACCCTCCGAAGTACCTCGGACCTCGCCTTTTGCCCCCTCGAACCACCAACGATCCTCCAAACCTCCAACAAAATTCCCGCTTCAGCCCCCTCTGACTAGTCCGTATACAAATTACCGAGCACAAGGTTAACGCTTTAACGCTGACCCGAGGGAGCCAAAAAAACACCCGGTCGGTCCCTCATGGGTCCAATGGTGTCATAACAGCATAGGCGTACGCAGCAATGTACCTAACAAAATTCATGCAAGTACCCTTACATCCGAACCTAAGCGAGGTCCAAGCTTCCTTCCTTTTGGCTGCTTCTGTTTCATCCGAGAGGGACCCGCTTTGGATGGTGTCGAAGCCGGTCCGAGATACCGCGGATAATAATAATATTTTCAAGTCTATCAATAACGCACCATGTACCTGTAGGTAGGAAACTGTAAGTAGAACACGCTGCGGACGCATAAGCATCCCCCCCAACAAAAGAAGAAAAAAAAACAGACTTTAGAGAGTGGGTAAAGAGAGACATGTCGTCTGAGTGAGACGGGTGGCTACACGGAATAATTGCCTGACACACAGACGTGCTTTTTTTTAAGAGGGGAAAGCATGTGCGGGACGGAAGAAATGTCGGGTCTTGGTTTTCTGACTCTCTCTATCTCCGGTGCTTATGCCATTTTTGTTTTTGCGTTGCTCTTTTATCCCTCCACGTCGGGGACGTGCGGCGGGATAGGACAAGAAAAATAAGGGTACAAGACTCTTGGAGTCTGGGGTAAAGTAAAGCCGGCCTTTTTGATTGCTTTTGGGGTTTGTTTCTTACTCCGCTTCTTGATGGTCGTTAGTGGTTTTCCTGATGTGCTTCTTGTTTTTTTCTGGTCATAGTTCAAGTGCGCGTGCACTGCTTGCGAGGGGTCCACAATTGGTTTCACATGTCAGGCGCAGAAAGAAAGACATGCAAAGGGTACATTGATAATCGGGGCACGTATGCGAGAGCTTATTAACCTGTGTAGAAGAAACATGTGTGGTGGTGTGATGGCTCTCCGTGGACGATCTTAATGAGAATGTTCTGACGCCATGCAGGTACAGAAAACAGTTGCCAGACCTCAACAACATGCACCTTGACCACCATCAAAACCCTACACACTTCTTTATTTGGCCTCATAACCCAGCCGGTCTCGGCAGTTTCGTGATATTGGTTTTTCTTATTGATTTTTTATCCTTATATTGATGGCGGAGAAAGCAAACCGGCGCAATAACCTCAGACCACCGACATGTCGTCTAGAAATACTTTGGTACATTGTCATGAACAGCCTCCCCCCCCCCCCCACGTTAATCAATATGAGGTGGAAGTGAGACCTGCATGTTGGAAGCTGTGCAGCGGGCGCATGCACACGGACAGCATAGACAATCCTGTTTCAATGCACTGCGCCGCGTGGATGGTCTTCGCTTATCTGCAAATATTGGACGGATAAATAACGGTCTAAATGAAGGTATACGTATCTCCCCGCAGGTGTGGAGTCGTGGAGATAAGGGAGAGTGCGGTTGATTGACTCAGACAGCGATACTGATTTAGACTGGCGATGCCCACACAATGCGCGATCGCTTGCCGGTTTGGTTGATTGCTCGTCAGGGTAACTTGATGCGCATGTCCTGATACGCGCCATAACATTTGTCCAAGCAAAACGCTAGTCTTGGAAGTGGCTAACATGTGAGAAGTCGAGACTTTTCAAGTGCGTCATTGCCAGGCTTCGACATGTGACGTAGGGAGTGTGACTTGCAAGATACGCAGTGGTTTGGCACGGCTTCATGTCGGTGGAATGGCTGAAGCGGAATGCCAAATCCAATATTCTCGCAGGGAACAGACGACATGTGGACAGGAAAGATGCCTATCTACAGTGTGCAGGCTGGTCGATTGTCATGGCAAAGATGCTCATCGAACTCACATGTGAGACCCTACCGTAGTTCACGAACCGGCGGTCAAAGCTGCAATCTATTGTGCATCGCCCTTGCGCAGGGCCTCACTAAGCACTTTATATTACTATTCAGGCGTTTGTGATCTGCAAAATATATTGCTGGCGTGGATGCGGTTGTAGTCGCTAGGGCAGAGTACCAACAGCCCGGTACGATGATGTTGGCTTTAGATGAAAACCGTTGTGCTAGAAGCATGTATCCCGTGTGCTGCACAGATGCGGGGAACCTCAACAGGTACTTTGGAAAGTATGTTTCTTCCTTCATCGACCAAGTGTTGCGGTATTGCGGTCCTTGCACGCGGAGGTGGAGTCAATGGGGAAGGTGCTAAACCAACAAAGTGCGGCGAAGGGTTGAATGGTTAGCCGGTGGTAGACGCGATGCAAAGGACAGATGGTCGATATTCTGGAGACGGTTCTGCATCGGCGCTTTCAGGTCTGATAAATTTCCCTGCGTGAGCTTTGAGGAAGGGAGGGCCAAAGCAATAGTCTGGTCTTTTGGTTCCGAGAGCCGCATCGGATCGGAGACACTTCCCCTTTTCACCTGGCTCCGACCAAGCACGCACTATGGGACTCCCCGGTGGGCGGTAAGCTAACTATTCTGAGAAGTCTATGCGTCGATCTGAGTGTGGAGTCAGGGTCTCTCCACAATCCACGACGTGCTGCTGACGGCTGTGAGTGGTGCAATTACTTGCGGCAAAATTTCCTCGGCTGGAGCGAATAGGGTGGCAAGTACCATAACTCGGACAAGGATGCGTGACTCGTCAGCGGCAGCCTTAACCGCCAGTATTTCCTCGTCAGGCAGGTCCGCTGTTGGACATTGTGGAGATCCCGCACTCAGTTCTGGTACAAAGGATGGATTTGCGGCCTGGATGGCCGGCCCTAGAAGCTCGCTAGACGCCTTGTGCTGGACTGGTCCAGTACTAAGACCGAGTTGGTTCGCAAGGGGCGGAAAGGCTTGGTGGCACTCATTCTTGTCCCGTGGGCGGTTGTTATCTGGGGCTGGATTCAGAGGCGCTCCATGGCAAGCGGCTGAGATGGAGCGCAGTTCCGTCAGCTGAGACACTACTGTGGATACCCAAAGTGTAAGTATTTGCAAGCTCTCCTTTGTCGTGCGTGACAGTTGCTTTTGATGAAGCTAGTGAGGGAGGGGCGGGATCCGGCCGGTTTGTGATTGGTAGGGAGGCCACAATGCCCAGCTTGGTGAGCAGATTGGCGTTTGACCGGCCCTGCCCAGTCCACAGCGGAGGTTTATAGTGACAATTTTGGTTGGCAAGTGCCTTGGTCAACAGCCGGTAGTACATGTGCATGTGAATACGTTACGTAGGTGTACCTTGATTCGCGCTGAGTGCGCTTGACCCGGTAAGCAGGCAAGGTAAGTGATTTCGGTACTGTCATGTCAAGGCCAGCAGGCCCTGTTCGGCATTACTGCTCGGTTACTGTTCTGGTACTGGTTTTTACGGGCAACGGTGTCGGCAGGCAACGGTATGTCCCAGTAGGTACATGTGTATGTGTACATTTCGAGGTACGTACATAGGCACATGTGTGTGTGTGTGTGTGTGTGTGTGTGCTGTGCGCCTTCGCTTCGCGCCTGCCGGGCCGACCGTGTTCAGACGCCGCAATCTGGCGTGGTGAGGCGGCGGAGGCAGAAGCCGCCAGACCTGCCGGCTCGTACGGTCAGACAGGTGAGATCGTCATAGCTCGGATTACGCGTTGTGGAGTAGCGTGGCGTATGTTATGGGGCTCCAGTCCGGGGTGCATGCCCAGCTGGACCACTGCAGAGATGATCCTCACAATCAACCGGCGGGAGAAAGTTTCTTTGGGTCGACCACAGATAGGCCACTGGAGGGGTTCGCGCCTATGGATCTGAGACTGCGCTCTGGCGAAGGGCAGGCCCTTGGGACTGGCCAGATATCAGCATTGTCGAATGGCAGCGTCGAGCGAAGACATCCGTTGGTTCCCGACTGGCAAGGGTGAAGCCGCCGGTGACAGGTCGAGATAAGGGCAGTGACGATTCGATAGATCCCCACAAGGATGGGGCCGGAAACGCAGCCAGTGTGCCTAGCAGGTAGGCGAAAGCATGCATGTGAGTTGGTAGTGAGCAGGTATGGATGTGGTGAGTATGGGGTCTGGAGGTGTTGCGCGCCGAACCTGCCCGCCCACCCTGGCAGGCGGGCAGGTTGGCAGGCAGGCAGGCAGGCAGTCTGGCTGCACGGTGTCCCGTTTAGGCAGTGAGGACGCGTGTTCCGCTTTGGGCAACTACAGCCACGCACCCACGCCCACCCACGTACTAAGTACTAAGACATGCCACATCGCACACCACACAGGCAGGCAGGCATACAGGCATACAGGCATACAGGCATAAGTACAGGCATGCTTACAGGCAGCCCCCCTCCCCAGGCGAGGGCGCATGGGCAGCGCCACGATGTGTGCTTGTGCCACGTACTCCACATTCCTCACTCTCCGCAAATTCCAGGTCCCTTTGTGCCATAAGCCCCGCTAGCGCTGGTGCCGCAGTCTGTACCGGAATCGTCAGACGCGGACGAGGCTTATCGCGCTGCATGTGAAAGGGGAAGCAAGAGCAAGAATAGCGACGTTGTTAGCTGGAGACGGGCGTGGTCACACAAGCATCCCATTGACTGAAACACGGCCCTCGTCTCGCCCTTGGTTGGCCCCCTTCTCACCGCATCTTGCTCGTTGGGGGTGCCCAGTGTGTCTCACGCCCACCCCGCAGGGGAAGATCAGGTTCGGCGCGAAGACAGAGACAGCAGATGCAGAAAAAAACACGGTGCGGGTGCAACCAGGCTGCAGCATGGCGGCCGGCTGGCGTGACGCTTGCACCATCCAGCCCACTCTCCCACTTGCACTCTCCCATCCAACCCCCATCCCTCCGCCATCACTCGCCCTTCCGAATGATCAAACAAAACTTATCTGCGGGGAACATGGACTGCCCGCCCTCCTTGTTTCGAGACTTGACGTTGCCGAGACCTGCCAGATAGCCTACCACTGCCCCCCAGACCCCCGGCCTTTCTCGCATACACACCCAAACCCGGCCCCCTACCCCACGAATGATTCTCCCTGCTTGCATCACCGGGCTCCTCTATCACGTCACCCACATGCAAACCTTCCTCACCCATAACATAATATCTCGTAATCGCAAATTGACTCTTCACTGCTGCACTAACACTCGACGTTGCTTTCACGTTTCAATTAGGCGCTAACCTGACCAACTACCCTTTACTCATCTCGACCTCTCCCCGCACTGCCAACATGCAAACCCCTTCGCCCCCCACCCCCTCCAAACCTGCCCGCGAGCTAGCTACCCAAAGTGAGGCAGACCCGGGGGCGTATACAAGATTGCGAACCGCCTGGCGCGGTTTCGCGGGGTATTGAATCCGGCAAAAAACAACTGCGAAATAAGTGAAGAAGATGAAGCAGAAGAAGAAGTAGTAGTAGAAGAAGAAAACAAGTAGAACAAGTACAAGTAGATAGCTACAAAAGAAACGTCTATTTGCCCGTGGTGTTAGGGAAATCGTAATATGCCACAGGCTCCACCCTACAAAAAGGTCTTGTGTGTGTGTGTGTGCGCCCTTGTCTAATCTCATCGCTTGCTGACCGTGAAAATATGACGAAATGCAAGAGAGGAAAAAAAAAGGGTTTTTAAAAAAAAGCAGAGAACGCTGACCGAAAACGCCGATGCCATGCTAGTTGGAGTCGAGAGTGGGTTTAGTTGCGATTCGAGAGGTCTTCGCCGGCTAATGACGCCGTTGCGGAGTTATTACCGGAAGAGAAGCCGCTGTTGCTCGGGCCATTGAGCAGATCTTGCACCGCAACCTTGGGTACTTGCGGAACCGGCAATTTGCGCTGCGCACCCTCTGGCTTGGAAATAATGTCCCCAATACGAAGTCCCGACGACTGGCTCGGCACGTACGGTTGCTCACGCTCCGTCGACGGCTCCATGGGCGCAAGCGCTGGCACAAAGTTTTGGTTGAGGCTAAGATGACGTAGATGTGGTAGCTGGAGATCACTGAAGCCGTGGGGCCGTAATCTTGGCGAGTGTGCAGGGGTTGCGAGTGGCGTGTGGTCTGGCGTCGGGCTGCAGGAATCGTGTGAAAACGTTGGCGATGGCGGGGCAGTCGACGACGGTGAGCCTGGCCTCGACTTCTTTGTCATCCTATGCGAGTACGGGTCGTCGTCCTCATGCGAGTGCGATCTTGACATGGGCTGCGACGAGTAGGCGTATTGAGAAAGGCCTGGCAGTCGGTTGGCGTAAGGGTGGTACCCGCTCGTAAGGTGATGTCTACTTGAGTGAGACATGTGTCCAGGACGTTGCTCCAGTCTTGACGCAGCATCGGCAAGGAGATCCATGGGGCGAGCAAGACCACTGGGGCTGCTGCTGTTGCTCAGGCCGCCCTGGTGGTATGCGGCCAGGTCGTTGCTCATACCAGGAGAGTAGTTTGAGAAGGAGTGGGGTGGCGAGACGTTGGGTGAGCCTAGTTGAGAGCCCGGGGCACTGCGAGAAATGGGCTTTGATGGAGGAGGCATCATGTGTGCAAGGCTAGATCCGGGCTCCATAAGGCCTGCCTGTACAGCAGCAACGGCAGCTTGGTGGGCAGCAGCATGTTGCTGGCCTTTGCCTCGCCGCGAGTTTGGGTTGTTGTGTATCCTCGAGTGTCTGTGTAGCGGGGTCAGTTGGTGTGCAGGCAAAAAAAACAAGGTGCTTGGTGGAAGACATACCGAGTCAGTTCATCCGAGCGAGAAAATCTCTTTGTGCATCCAGGGAAAGTGCAGGCGTGTGGCTTCTCTCCAGTGTGGGTTCGGATGTGGCGAGTCTGGTGTTCCAGACGGTGGAAGGCCTTGTCGCAGAGAGGGCACTTGTAAGGCCTGGGAAGATCCTGTCGGGGCTCCTCTGTCTGTTGCGGGGCGTTCTGGAGAAGAGGCGCCATGAGGCTGACGGTGGCAGCGGCCATGGAGGCGGTTGGTGTAGAGGTGGGTGGTTGTTGCTGTTGCTGTTGGTTCTGAGAAGCTGTTTCGGGGTTGAGCAGGTTGGCGAAACCTGTCGAGGCAGAGTTGGATTGCATGTGAGCGGAGGGGAAAGTTTGGGGGGAAGGGGGACGGATGGGGGGCTCGGATATATGTATGGATCAAACTAGGCGGGCGGCGTGTGGGGGTCGACTGATGGCCGTCAGGGCTGTCTGTGCTTACGCGGGCGAGGATATGCCGGAGCTCGCGCAGAAAGAAACGCGGTGCGCCAGTGCGCCTTGGCTATTTTTTGGGGGGGGGGGAGGGGGGCGCTCGAGTCGTGGAGACGTATCAGGAAATGCGGGTCCTCGCGCACACTTGCGTGATGACTTGCGGAGGGCAGCGTGCAGCGGGTGCAGGGTGTAGCTGGAGCAGCGGCCTTTTCGGTGTCGCAGTCGCTTTGGGCGATCCCTTGGGGGTCGTGGGAGAGGACGGGTGAGATTGCGAGCGATGCAATGGCACCGTGGCTAGCGGCACCTGCCTTGGCCTGGTCGTTCAGCAGCTGTGGATGTGGAGCGTCGATTTTTTGGTTGAGCCCGGCGACGTAATTTGCAGTCGTGAGAATTCTGCATGCGAAATTTTGCAGCGGTGAGTGTCGGCGAACGCGCTGCGGTCGCCAGTCGCTACAAGGTGAGGCTGTGGTTGGAGTGTGCAGCGAGTACCAGTCTTCGGCCGGGGTGCCAAGCAGGTGTACAGTGGCTGCGCGGGTATACGGGTCGACAGTGAGGCCGTCAAGTCAGATGATGCAACGTTGCTGGTGGGGTTGCGTGGTGGTTGTGAGTCTTGTAGAGGCTGTCGTGGTGTATGTGCACTACATACGCACAGTAGCAGGCGGCGGTCGTGGGGATGTGGCTATGCACTCCCGGGCTGGGGCAGAGATAAGGGCGGCCTTTGTATGGGGAGGTTTCTGGAGACTGGAGACGTCACCACCATCACCTGGGGGCTTTTTGGCTGTGTCCGCATGCCATTTCCATGGCCCCATCAGATCGTATCGTATCGTGCAGTACAGTGCAGACAGACACGCCCATCCCGCGCCTCCTTCTCTGCTGCCCTATTCTTGCCCTCGCCCCTCTCCCTCTGGACGTGAGACGAGAGAGCCCACAGCCACCCCCGACACAGTGAGCGTCTAAGCAGCCAGAAACACCAGCACCCGCATCTCCGCCCACCCACTGCCCGACGAGGCGCTGTCACTGGCTCCCACTGCCAGCGACATTGCATCGTCATCTCGGCAGACTTGGGTGTTGCACTATTCAGACTCGTGGGATGCGTGCAACTCTCGAGTGGTTTCGCGCATGACCACCCTCATTGGCCGCATGACATGGCCAATAATGCTTCCCAACACGCACACAATTTACCCACTGGCTGGCTGTCAGTCGTGTTGCACCGCAGCCGGCGGGGGCTGGCGCTGCTCCGGTTTGATTTCATCACTGTGGGGGATCCAGACCTGGGGTCACGGCGAGGGCGAACAGTACTATCGAGCCACCATGTCGTTGCCAACCTGTCCGTTCCTACACTACACGTCGCGCAGCATCGCGACATCACTCGCAGCTGCCTGCACGCACACGCACCGAGGGCTCGAGCACCGTGCCACCAAGCCGACTTTGCTTTACCCTCCACTACGGCCCGCCTTCTGTGCATCGTCCCGGACACTCAGGTGAAGGTCGAGTCGGTAGACCAACGTAGGGCGATCTCTGCCGACCATGTATCCTCAAATCACCCGATAATACTCCCGGGTCCATCAACACAGACACATGCACATGCTGCCGCCGCCGCCGCCGCCTCTTCTTCTTCATCAGTCAGCGTCGTCCGAGGCTCGCCCTGTGCAAACGCAAAGGGGGCTGCCCTTGTCGTGTAGGCCCACGTCGGACGAGCAAGCCATTTCCGCATAACCCACTGCTGGCTATCTTCAGCTCGAGCCCTTGCGCACCCCAGTCGTCGGCGCCGCCCCTGTCCTTGGCTTCTGAGCAGATCGTGGGGACTTTTGCCCTGCGACGGACCGGCTGTCCCGAGCTGGATGACGTTCACGGCCTCGGTGCAAAAAGCCCTTTATGAGAATCGCAATCACGCGGCGTCTTTGCTTCATATGCACCGTTGTTTGCACTTTATTCCACTGCGACCTGAGCACTGATACACTACATTAATCCTGCATAGTCACCCTGGCTCCGCTATTCTTATCTGATGTTCGAGAAATTTTTTGAGTGCAGCTAGTCCCTCAATAGCTCGCCCCGCTTTGGGGTTACTTCCTCCGAGCATACGCCTATGCCGAGCCGACAGAAAAATTCGCACGCCAACACCGGAGTAGGGGACCAACTCCTGATCATGGAACGTGGCATCGGAGAATCTCGGAAACCCCATCGCTGAGGGCAATGGGGCTCCGCTGAATGATGCGTTGGTGGCGTCTTATCAGCCCCAACTCCTTCGGGCTATGCAAGGTACGCCTTCGTCGAAGCTTTCATGGAAGCACTGTCCCCCTCCGACGTCACATCCCCAGCCCCGAAATTTCGATTATGCCGGCCTTCTCCATGTCCTGTTTCAGACAACATGGGCATTACCCTCCAAGTATGCGATATAGTTTCATAGCATGTACGTTTGCGGGGTGCTTCTGGCAGTCCGCATCCATGTGCGACAGCCGCCCAATGTCGGAACACCGTAGCCGCCAAAAGTCGGGTCCTTGCACCTACAACAATCGGCTCGGTCAGGCGGAACCACCACTTTCTACCAGAGTGCTACCACCATTTCTTCACCCGCCCCGGTCTGCAATTGTCACCTATCGTGACATGGACATGGTGTATCTCTTGTCTAGAACCTTCAGGGTCTCGATCAGTCCCCGGTGATGTAATGGTGGACTGTCTGGTCAAAAAGAGTAGGTTATGCGTCAAACACCGACATGGCCGATGATACCGGCTGATCCACGGTTAAGCTCTCTGGGGCCCCGCACCGTTGATTGTGGCTCATTGATCGAGATAAGGCAGTGGCTTTCAGGGGCTCTCGCACAAAGATATTGCCACCAATTCAACCAAAGAGACTTTCGCCGCCTAGACTCACCTTAGTGAGTCATGTCCCTAGCCTCCGGGCATGAAGATCTGCTCGCACAACCAACACGCGACAGTAAAAACTTCAAAAGGAAAGCCAAGCGTTTAGTGGCGACTCGACCGCAACGAGAGTGGAGCGTCTGACGAATATCGTACAGCCTTGGGCCAAACACACATCATAGACCCTTCAGAACGTCAAAAAAACACTCACTTTACACCCATGCACAATACGTCAATCCTAGATGAAAACCAGGGCAGTCTTCTCACAGTTTGCACAATGATCGACCCACGAGACGCGCAACCTTACGTCAACTGATTACCCACACATCCCTTCCAAAAGCTGATGATATCCACAGCACGCTCTTCCTTGCTGTCTGCACAAATATGTTCATCATCACAAGTCACACCGTCCTCTCCCCTCATTGATCTGCATAGATTTCCTATGCCGCCTGGGCATAGGCAGCGGGGAAAAAACTAGTGCCGATCTGCATTTAGTTCTGGGAAGGTTTGCGCCGGGATCATCATCACCACCTCTAGACCCCAGAGAAGCTCGATTCGCATCGAGTCGAATGGAAAACATATATGTACACCTACTACATATCTATGTTGGTGTAGGTGTAAGTTTGAATTACGGAAGCATGATGCCAGACGGAACTGGCCAGATCTGTTTGTTGAATCCGTTTTGTTGAGTCACTCTGTCAGGTGAGTAATGCAAGCTTTCGTAACTCGCGTCTGTAACGGAAGGTGCACACAACAGAAACTTGCATGTGCTCTCCGGCTGGCTTCATTGTTGCCCAGTCCATCCAATCAACGTAGGGTTGTTGAGCCGCGTGAAGCAATATCAGTTTCCGGAACATGGCATGCCTATTAGATGCTGCATTATACCGCCACATGATCGAGAAGAGCAAGTAGATTTACGACAGGGTACGGTTGGTCTTCTGGCGAGAAACAAATGAGAAACTCAGTATTAAGTGGGGACATACGGCTACGTATTGGTCCATGGTAGTTTGGCGCTCCCCGGAGACTAACATGTACAGCCAAAGGTTGTCCTCGCTACTGCACAGTAATTTGGAATTCCGACACTGTACGCATAACCCCACAGGATAAGCATTGATATCTTCTTGGGGTGTTGGATAACCATATTGGGTAATTTTGTCTTGCATACAATATCACGCGCATATCAACCATAGCCCACTGCCGTACGGTTGTTCATCACACGCTGCATTCATGTGGGGTTGCATCTCATTGAAAATAGCTTCATTCATGGTTGCAACGAAAAGCGGAATTATGATGGGAAACTAGTACCATGGGTTTTATTGGTACCACTGCCAAGCCTGTCGATACTTTTTTCCAGCTACAGTAAGTATAGTTGTACAGCCGACGCTCTGCTTGTATCCGTTTCCCGGGTCTCTGCCTTCATCTTGTATTCGTACACGTCCTCATATATGCCGCTTTGCGCGAGTCTCATGATTTTTCTTCGTCATCATTGTCACGCTTCTATTCGCATGGCCCGTTTAGAAAGTCTAGTGCAGCTATGTCCGGAAGTATCAGTATGTGGTCATTGCAGAGACGAAAGATCTGGACGTACCTAGGTTTTCACCAATACTACACGCGCCCGCTGTGCATGAAGTCACAGCACTGAAAAACGGACCACATAAGCAGTCATCGTCTGTGTTGGGATCGCAGCCCGCTACTACTGCTGCCTCGTTCCAGCAGTTCATCTGCAGATCATTGTTAGTAACACATCAGGTAATTGTATCATTATAGTCGACGACTTACGGGACATGCTCCTACACTTGCAACACCCGCACCAACTCCAGCATCTTGTCTCCGTGATAGAGGGGGAGACATTGGTGAAGCGATGACACTAGTTGCTGCTAAGCAAACGATTGGGATTTCGATGCGCATCTTTGGAAAAAGGTGTATTTTCTTTGGTTTACAGTAACGACTGTAGGGACAAGATTCAGAGTAGATGTACAAATAACGAATGATCTTGAGGTTTGCGAGTAATGCTCACACCATTAGTAGTTTTCCTAGAATCAACCGATCCGCGCCCCCCGCCCTTATATCATACCCATAGTAGATAGAACTAGAAGTGTTGGCATGTGTACTGCTAATTGAAGGGGGGATGGTTCAGAGGCGGTTCATGTCATGCGCAGACCTCTTTGCCATGTTTCAGCATCTTCTGATGCACCCTGGGTTACAGACAGCGGCTTGGCGAAACAAGACCCTCCGCCGTGGGTACCTTGAACCGCAATTTTGCGCAATACAATACACGTTATCATCAAAGTATCCAAGATACCGAAGAGTGCAAGGCATTGAATCCAAAATCCAGGTTCTTGGCTCTTGCCTTTTCGTCTCCTAAGCGCGACGATAAGGAAAAGAGATAATTAGGAGTCGCTACTTGAACACTAAGGATTCAGATTATATCGATTCACCCGTGCTATCCGGTCTTCTACTACTCTTTTCGTCGCGACATGTCGCATCTTCTCTCCAGCCGCGCGTAGTCCGTGAAATGCCTGGTTGCCTCGGTTTGGAGTACGTACGTAGCACGGTCGAGGTCGAAATTACACTTTAGCCAAAAAGGAAATCAAACTAGCTGACATGGACGCGTAACCATCTATCTTCCTATAAGAAAACGAAAAAAGCAAATGTATAATAAACCCTACTATATCACCCTTCTTACTACTCTTCTAGAAAAATCGCCATAATTACAAAAAAACCCTCACCACAACCGCTCCCGTCCCCCGTCCCCACAATTCCCATTCCCCACTTTTCCACTACACACAACATCAACCACCCCCTCCCACCTCACCCATCCCCATCTCACCCAAGCCCTTTCAGCACAGCCACACAAAAAGGGCTTAAAAGAAGACCCGCGTTTGACACACCCCCGAGTGTCCACCAAGACATATCTGACGCTCGCCTGACAGCTCGGCGAACTCAGGCTCCCAGGTTTCAACTAAATTGCCCAACATCCACACACACACACACACACACCCGTCAGACAAAACCATAAAGCGTGCGCCCACCCATCCCCGCCTTCTCCTTCCGTTCTTGCAGCGAACAAAACACCCCAAAAAGCGGTTCCTGCAACAGTCGTTGAACACATACTTGAGCAAGCTTCCTAATCCAGGTGTTTATGCCGATGAGTTCGAGGCGCGGGCAGTGAGGTTTCGCTGTTGCTTGGTGGTTTTGTGCCTCAGAACGAACGCAACGTGTTTGAGGCGTTCGTTTCAGACGGGGCGGGAGCGGGCTGTGTAGAGATTTCCCACTTTGCTGACTGGATGTTGCGTGCCTTGATCCCACATGCGCGGCATTGCGATGTATACGCGGGACCTGGGTCGGCTTGGCCACGCGGGGACTGGGATCAGGGGAGGGTAGGGTAGGGTAGGGTAAGTAGACGCGGGAAGGGGAGGGTGTCGGATGGAAAAGGGCTGTTTCTGGGTTAGGAGGAGGGAAAGGCGCGAAACTGGGTTGTTCTTGATGGGTGGTTTGTAGGTGTGAGGTGGATATGGGAGGTAAGGGTGTTTGGCGGCGATTGAATCAAGCGGGTTTGCTTGGAAATGTGGAGTGTCGAGTATAGTAGTGGTCAAGGAGCGACTCGAGGTGATGGGATTGAAAGTTGAGTAGGAGGCCTGCTCATGGTGTGCTGTCGAAATTTCTTTATGTGCTCAAATGGCACTAGGCAGTAATGGTAATTATCGGATTCTGACTTGTTTGTTTAGCCTGCTAATTGTTACTTGTCCATATTTGGTTTCATGGTTTCTTTGCAGCTTCAGAGCGTCCAATACCTGTAGCGCGTCATCCTTATCTTTGCCATGCATAACTTACTGATTGACGTGAGAAACTTTTACTCGGTTTAAAAGCAGCAGCTTAGCATACAAAATAAGGTTCTTGAATGTGTAGTCTAATGCATCGTGTGAGGTGCTACTACTACTATCATCATCACGTGATCATAACTTATGTACATAGTCAGATTTCGGGCCCTGCCTCAACACCACTCATGCTCTAGTAGCTAGTATTCTGCTCCCTCACGAAACTGCTCCCTCACGACACTGCTCCCTCACGACACTGCTCCCTCACGACACTGCTCCCTCACGATAATTGCTCGAGATTTCACCTTGAAACAACCCCGTAAACTCCAGATCCGAATGAGAAACCAATTATGACGGCAATTACAGCCTCATCGGCGGCTAGATCTGCCTCGGGTTGCGAGGCTGAGTTCAAGCGCCACCAGCTGACACAGCCCCGTTGGAGCCTTCTTTGTTCAAACTCAGTCTGTCTCCCACCGTTATTGTCGTTTTCAGTTGCGACAGAAAATGACTGAGAATGTCGGATCCTTTATCAATCACTGCCAGCATAATCACGCTCATACAAGTCTCCGTCCAAGTGACTGTGCTGATCAACCAGTTCTGCAATGAGGCGACCACCGTGGATACGACGCTCGCTGGCCTTCTCAGCGATGTTGAAGGGTTCAAGCGAGTACTCGAGTCTATGAAGGAGACTATTGACCAGGACGACATCAAATCAAACTTGCAATCGACCGGACATACAGGCAGCCACTGGAAAAACCTCGCACGCTCGTTGAACGACGGCACTGAAACCTTAAAGAAGCTGTACGACCTCCTGGACGGTGTCAACAAGAAGACATCACTGCTTGATGCTCAACGGAAGCTAATCCGACTGAAGAGCGCTTCTGGACAAATTGCGCAATATCGGGAGCAGATCCAATCTTCTCACGCTGCACTTCAGCTTTCGCTTAGCACAATCATTCTGTAAGTCAGCGTAGCTCTTGCCGTTTTTCTGACCACTATTGTGGCTTCCCACATGAACGCCCACCAAGGTCCTGCTCTTCCACGTACTTTCCCCCCACTAATCAACCTCTAGTTGGAATCAGGTAACCTTTCAGAAATCGACTGAAAAGATACCAGACAAGATTGTTCCAACACTTGACAAGCCCTACGATGAATTCCGCTCATTTGGCGCTCTTCTTAATGCGAAAATCGACAAATTGCAATTCGTAGTTGTAGATCCGAATGACCCAGACAATTATAAACTCCAATACATGACCAATCTACGGGAATGTGTTCGATCAGCCGCCGACGTTGTGGCAACTGCATCAACAAACCTCAACGTAGATTCAAACGGCAAGACAACTGGCACATGTGGCTCTGATTTTGGCGATGTCTTTGTCAAAGATGTCAACGAACCTATGCTGCGCTGGTTCGCCTCAAATACCGTATATGAATACGAGGATGTGGAAGCTCCTATACCCGCCCCTCCTGACGCTAGTAATGGCGATGCAATGACTGGGTACCACTCAGATACTGACTCAGATATCGAGAACGATATGATTAGATCTTTGTTCAAAGAAGGTAAGAAACGCCAGGGGCAGGGTGATTTGACGGGTGCGGTTCGTCGTTTCCAGAACTGCTTAACGAGGTTTTCTTCAAACACGAATTATGCATCACTCACAATGGCACAAATTTTGACAGTTTGCGGCGTGTCAAAGGTCGAACTACTGGAGAACATCACCGATTGCTATCGCGCACTGGGCTTATGGGCCGAAGCAAAAGCAACAATGGGGGTGAAATTACAGATCACCGAGCACCAAGTGGGTAAAAAAGACGCACTCTATTTGAAGGATACTATGAAGCTGGCCGAGATTATGATGAAGAACCACGATTATGTTGATGCTCACCTTCAAGCTCGTCATTCCCTGCGAGGATTCAAGAAACTAGGTGAATAAGGGCAGACGGATTACGAAAGCTGTTTAGAATTCTTGATAAAGATATGCCAACTGGAGGGCAAAGAAGATGAGGAAGAGGCTTATGCAGCTTTACTTTCCGGTCATACATGGGGTGTGCAGCGTTCGAATTCAAAGTTCCAGTCCGCCGAATTGGATCCAGCAGACATCATTCAGCCACAACTTCCGTCCACCCTAGACTTACAAGTTGAGCCAGATATTGCTATCAGCGCGACGGAACGGATGGAAAAAGCAATGCTACAACCACATGGGCCTGTAGAAGAGGATCCTCCACACACGGAAACCGACATTGTAGCGTTTGGAGATCAGGACGACCAACCACTTCATCTCAAGAAACGTGTCGAAACCTTCCTCCCATATTCGAGCTCTCATTCCCCAGAAATAACACCTGTGGAAGCAAAAGACAATGAAAGTAGGAAACTGGATCAAGAGAGCTCAAGTTTCTCAGCGATCCAGCCTCATACACTCGACACAACTAAAGATTCCAAAAGAAGGGAACTGCCTGCACTATGAGAGGGTCCCTCGGCACCTCTCTGGTGTTCAGATAGTACATTCAACACTGACCTGAGACTTCACTCGCCTTCAGATCCAGATAATCCGGGCTACATTGAAAGGGAATGGCGTGATGTGTCAACATCTGGTGAAAATTCACCCATACGGCATAATGCGTCGGATTCAGCCATGGAAGATCAACAAAACACTGGCCAAGGGTTCATAGGAAGACTGCTAGCAAAGTCTTACGCCGCATTTAAAGGCGAAAAAACGGATCGACGTGCTGCAGCAAGTTCTTCCCAGACCTTTCCGAGCGTTCAGAAGCCGAGCATCAACACCACATCCTTTGTCCCGGATACATATCCCTGCATTGGCCCTAATATGCACAGCTCAGCTTCAAATGTCCCCTCACATGCAGCATCAACCGATGGATCGATCTATTCTACATCAACATTTTTTGAAGGATGGGACGCGTACCCACACGCCAGTACGACACCTGGTGGTAAAATTCCTCCAGGATATCCGGGTCTCACGTGTTGCCCTATTTGCCAAATTTCTTTCTCAAACATGACACTCGACGCTGCGTGCCTTCATGAAGTTAGCTGTATAAAAGGGTTCTATGGTTCTGCCGATTTGCCGCGGGAGAATCAAGAACAGCAAAATTGGGACCGAGCAAGTTTGATATCAAATCCGCCCATTTCTTCAGCACAACCCACACCAGCTGGTGTTATATGGAGAAATGTATTATTGCTTGGAGATATGCTGTGTGCCAAAGCATACATTGCCAGCCCATGGACGTCAAGCCGACGCCCAACCCCAAGCTCAGTAACACCTGCAATACTAGACCTCGGAAATACAGTCGTCAATGTCAAAGGCCGTGAGATTGGTCTTGATATGTGGGATATCGGTACGGCGGGGGATTTGAGTAAGGCGAAAAAGCAAGAAATGTTGCGTCGTGGTTTCTATGGGAACACCCATGTGCTGTTGATCTGTGTCGACATCAACAAGTCTAAGAAATTCGTAGACACAGCGTGCAAAGTATGTCTAACTGTACTTGATACCCTTACAGAATCAGAACTAACGATCAAAGTGTAACGCAAAAGCTGAAAAGCATCTTCCTGGTGTGCCAAGAGTACTTGTCGGATACAAGAACGACCGCCTGAGCATGTCAAAGCGCACAAGTTTGAAATCTCAACCCATAGTGCCCTTTGCTGCTTCATGGGTAAGTTTGGCATCTGATTGATGGGATGAAAACTTACCATGTGCACAGGGTCACGAGTTGGCAGAGAGGATAGGTGCGTTGGCATACTTTGAGGTATCAGAATCCGAAGCCCAAGGCCGATGGGATCTGCTGGATTTTGTTGGAGCATATATGTTGAGACATATAAGATAATAAGGAGTGATCGGCCTACAGGATGCTCTAGCAAAGAGAGAGACCGACGTTGGGCTCTGAACTGGTATTTTGTTGTCCATGCATGTATCCTTCCAAATCCTTGAGGAGAGGTGGACCGGTCCCAACAACGGCGCGTTTGTATGATGCATACTTACTGTCCTTCTTCAGGCCATACAGCGCGAATGAAGCATCCGTACAAAGACTTCCCGCAGCATGGACGAGGTAAACGCAAGGAAGATCAAAGAAGCGTGTTTGAAGTTGATGCAATGCAGGCAAGAATGCCTCGGTTCATTCCGCCACTAAGCACTCTATATTCACGATGCAGGGATCGATAAGGAATTGAGTTCTTAAATGCTCATAGCGCAACTCAAGCTTACGGGCTACCATGTCTTTCAAACTCTTGAAACAACGGAGACAAGGGAGGTCAATTGGACGATGAAACGGGTAGTCAGGGCAGGGAATGGTACCAAGGATACATAGTTCATAAGTAGATTCATGAAAATAGATCCCATACGATTTAATTTTCTTGGACCCAGGTATCTGAACAAAGGGCAAGATTGCGGGGGCCAGGCAAGAAGTTGAGACGCGTGTGTCCGTAATTGAACACAAAGGCAGTTACTTGCGTTCCTTTTGTCACTTAATTCATTACATAATGGACAATCAGGCAACAGATTGATGTCGACTTCCCAATCTCTGACAAGATTAATTTTATTCTTCTCGAGAATAAAATTTACTGGAAGCACATCTACACAGCATGATACTGCACATCTTTCCAAACCAGCCGTGCAAAAAAAAACATAGTTCATGATTCTACTTTTGGAAAGACAGTACGACAACTCTAAATCTTCACACCCTCCAAAATCGGCCTTGCCTCCTCAGACTGCCACCACCCATCCTTGCCACCAGGGAAACTAAACTTCTCCATACTCTCAGGCTTCATCTCAACCGAGTACCCAGGATCCATGGGCGTGACATAGTACCCATTCTCAATCCTACTCGGGTGGAAAAAGTGCTCGTGCAAATGATCCACATACTCAAGCACACTCTTCTTACCGCTCACCACCACATAATCGATCGTAGAAAGATGCTGCGTGTACTCTGGCAGACCTACACCACCAGAGTGCGGTACAATGGGAATGTTGAACTTGGCAGCCATGAGGAGCACGGCGATAACCTCGTTGACACCACCGAGACGGCAGGCGTCGATTTGGCAAATGTCGATTGCGCCCGAGGCGAGGAACTGCTTGAACATGACGCGATTTTGGCACATCTCGCCAGTGGCGACGCCGATGTTGTAGGGCTTGAGGGCTTCGCGGATGGCTTTGTGACCCAGGACTATTTTCAAGTCAGTCCATCATTCCCTTTTTTCTCTTCAAACATACGGAGAAGGGGGAAAAAGAGAAAGATAGTGGATGGAAGAGGAGGGGAAAAGGACAAGGTTAAGGACCGTACCATCATCAGGACTCGTCGGCTCTTCAATAAACCACGGCTTGAACTCCTTCAACTCCTTCATATACTCAATTGCCTCTGGAACACTCCACACCTGATTCGCATCAACCATGAGCACATTTCCACGGTCAAACCCGATAATCTCGCGTGCAATGCTCAGACGATGCTTATCTTGTGCAATATCACTTCCCACCTTGAGCTTAAAATGCCTGTACCCCTTCGACAGCGTGTCCTGGAGCAGACTTCGCATCTTGTCCTCGCCGTAGCCCAGCCAGCCCGCAGACGTGGTGTAGGCGGGTACAGCGCGGCTGTCGAGGGCTTCCTGGAGGCGTTCTTTCTTGCCTACTTCAGCTTTTGTGAGGATTTCGAGGGCTTCGGCTGGGGTTAGGGCGTCGGTTATGTAGCGGAAGTCGATTAGGTCGACGATTTGCTGCGGCGTCATGTCTGCGACTATGCGCCAGGCGGGCTTGCCGAGGGATTTGGCCCAGAGATCCCAGATGGCGTTTACGACGGCGCCGAGGGCAAGGTGGATGACACCTTTTTCGGGGCCGATCCAGCGGAGTTGTGAGTCGTTGACGAGATGGCGCCAGGTCTTGCCCCAGTTGGCCACAAGGGAGTCGAGTGTGTGGCCTTTGATGCGGTCTGCTAGGTGAGTGATGGCGGTACATACAATCTCATTTCCACGGCCGATTGTGAAGGTCTTGGTATTTAGTTAGAAACATGTCATGGTTCAGGTGTTCTGTTGTGAGAAATAGTGTCCTTTACGCTTAGGGACTGTGCTGAAGCACTTTGTCTACAGAGCCAATAGTCCTACAGACCCAACTCTTCTATACAGTTGATTGGAAAGCAAAATATTTGACTCACCATGCCATGACCCTTGAATTCTGAGTCGGTGTGCAAGATGCAGTAAGCTGAAGAGTAATCTCCAGCGGCATTCATAGCATCGGAGCCAGTCTTGTCAAGGGACGTCTATATCTTCATGAGCCTCTTAATCTCTAACATAAGCCCTTGATTGTTTATACGACTTACCGGAAACCGCACGTCCTTCGTCTCAACACCTGTAATCGTAACCATGACTGTGATGTGTCCTGTGATTCTGATTCGGAATGTCTTCGGAACGCAGAGTGATACCCCGCAGAGTTTGTTTAGTAACTAAACTGCCTTCAACAAATGATCAAATTTGAAAAAAAGAGAGGAAAAGTGAAGAGACTGAAGAAGAAAAGTGTTCCTTTCTATACTGGAGGAGAACAGATCTAGACTTCTATTCGACTAGCAAGTCATCCACGCGACTACCCATCCACCTCAACTATCGTGACAATCCCGTAGCGCAACCCCACTTGCCCCTCGTCATTCGTGGAAGAACTACGTAGGCCACGCCGCTACTTGGGGCTGGCAAAAACGGGGCTTTTACAACCGCTCCGATACGGGTCCCGATAATTTATTTACCTCGCATCTAAGTATTTCCAGCACTCTTGCGAGTGGATGGCATCCTGGTCGACATGCACAGAGAGACGCCTCGTAAATGCTTCGCGTCTAGGCAAGAAGCTTGAGTTTGACAACGCATTACCAGGCTTGAAGGACGCTGTCGTATACTGTAACAACAGCGTCGTGTCTACAAGAGAGAGAACTTGCATGGATCACAGCTTACGTACAACTCACCTTTCATCACGGAACCTTGGATTTACAGCGATGAGGGGAGACAGGGGCCCCCGAATATCACCGTCAGCCTGAGAGTACCAGGCTCACCAGGCACCCCAGTCCTAACCCTGAGCATAGCGGAAGCGAGGTCATCAGTATATGGGCTCCAATTACAACTGGTGTAGGGAATGCAATGAACCTGCTTGTTAATAATGCACCAACCGAAAATGACTGGACAGACCTGACTTGAGACTCCATTCTCACCATGTATCCATTAATTACACTTCGTATCGTGATGCAAGATCCGAGGACCCTACAACGCGTCAATAGCTAACCAAGGCAGGATCGCCCAGATACTCACTCGCCCGAATCATGGGAATGCTCAAGCCACTGTGGGCTTTCAATCGAGCATGCAGCAATATCTGACCTCAAACGACAATGCTACTTTAGATGCATAGGCAAGAAGCCTACTTGATCCCCCTCTTTTCAGTCTCACTGTAATAGATGACCATACGCCAAAGCTTCTTGACCAGAGCCTCTGCTTCTTCATCAAGGGCCTAGACTGGTTGTTAGCAACACATTATACCACACATTGAGTTAGCGAGAACCCTTACCACTTCCAGATTCTCCACCAAAGGCTGTGGTGCGCCTCTGCTTTTCAAGTGTTCGACAATAGCATCGACGAGCATCTCTTCTTGAACTCCCATAATCTCAAGAACCTTATTGGCGGCCCATTCTTTAATGTCCTTGTTGATGTTCTTCTCGGGCAAGTGCTCCCAAGAAACAGCCCAATTCCAGAGGCCTTCCTTGTCGTTAGGAATGTCACGCGCAAGCTGTCGCTGAGCCTCCTCGATCTCTTCTTGGGTAAGATTGGCGCGAACAGCAGCATCGAAGTTGATGGGGATAAGTGTTCGCTTCTTGGAACCGGGCTGGTCGGTGAGATCTTCGTCCTCGAGAAGGTTTTCGACGTCGGCGGCGGTGCGACGGGGAGCAGCAGTCTGTTCGAGCTTCTTGGCAGCTGCACCGAGAGAAATCTTGAAATGTGCTGGCTCGCGTTGCTCTTCCCTGCGCATCAGTTCCTCGCCCTGCTCTTCCAGGAAAGCATCGGCTTGACCACGAGCATGGTCTTGCTGTCGCTTCTGGGCCGCCATTTCGCGTCGCTCCTGCTCTCGATCGATGGCGTCTTCCTTAGCTTCGAGGCCACGAACCTTTTCGCGCTCACGGATCCAATCGCTGTGATCGCGGTAGTACAGATCGCGCCTGGAAACTGCTTCTTGGTCGTCATCAAACTCCCGGAGTTGCTTAGCCTGTGCGACACGAGCCTTCTCACGCTCAGCATCCATATTCTTGAAGTAGTCATTGGTACGGTCAAGCGAGGCCACAGTACGGCGTTCTGTGTTGAGCCATCGATGAAGCTGCTTCTTGTACGCTTCTTCAGCTTCGTCGTTACGCTTCTTTTGACGGCGGCGCTCAAGTTCAGAGTCGCTAGCGGAATCATCGTCATCTTCCCGGGAAATATAGGCACCATTGTTTACGGCACCACCATTCACAAAGCTGACGCCAGCTTGATAATCGCGAGGGAATTGCGATCCCTTGGGTCCGCTGGGGGCACCCTGGACACCTCGTTCTGCCCGTGGACCCAATGGTACACCGTTAGCATTCCCTGGTCCACTAGGAGCAGAGGATGGTGGCGTTGCGCGCCGACCACTGCGGCGACGTTCTTCAGCCTCGAGTTCCTCTTCCCTCCGTAGACGGTCGCGGTCGCGCTGGTTGGAACGGTCGCGGAAGGCGGCTATCTCGGCGGCGACCACCTCGCGCATTTCGGCTGGAATGTCCGCAAGTTCGTCCTCTCCAGTAGCGAGATTAACAAACGCAACCTCGACATCCTCGCCATCTTGTGTCGGCGCGTCTTGCATGACTGTATCGCCTGCGTAATCCATGTTGGGCGCATTGGGGGGGTTGAAGAAGCTTGCGAGGACTGAGGAAAGGGCTTCCTTTGCGCTATCAAGGCGGAACTGAACTGTAGCCTCATCTTCGTTTCGAGTCTTGCTCCATTCTTCGGCATATTTGATCGAGGCATCATCAACCATGATGTGCAACTTGGTAGTCTCGACCTCTTCCTCTTCGCCATCCTCTTTCTTTGCCGCGCCTCCAGGCTTTTGGCGCTTTGTGGGTACACGGATATCTTTGAAGATCTCTGCCGCTGTTTCCAAGCTTTGCGCGTCAGCAAATTCTGCAAAACCGAATGTCTGGGGCTTGTTGTTGGCGTCGGTTGCCCTTGTCCACCGGACCAGTTTTCCTGCCGTCTCTAGAATGCGCTCCATACCCTCGTCACCTCCAACGCCATCCGGGATGTTGCCAACGAAAATGGTCCTGGCAATTTCCTCACGAGTGGGTGGATTGACGGGCTGAGGTCCATCTCGGCGATCGCCATCTCTGTCCATACCAAGCCCACGACGAGCAGGTGGTGCTGCATTATCTCTGCGGCCTCCTACTGGGCTGTCGGCCGCGCCAGGACGACCTCCTTGTGTTCCCAGGCGGATGACGGGCGCGTTGAAGTTGAAGTTTGGCATGCTTGCGGGTGGCTGCCAGCCGGATGGAAGGGCGCGGGATCCGTTTGCTGCTGGGGGTATCTGAGCGTTTGCGACACCTGGCGGAGGTGCTACACCAGGAGGAGCTGCAGCGCCTGGAGGACCTACACTTTGTTAGCTTAGGTTTAAATTGATTGGACGATTTTACACACCCATTCCGGGAGGGGCCATGCCAGGCGGAGCTCCTGCATAGCCTGGAGGTCCATTGTAGCCCGGAGCACCTACGCATGTTAGTTGTTTCCGCGATGCAGGAATGTGCGAACGTACCAGGGTAACCGTACATGTCGAATGAATACGCAGTCGCAAAGCCTAAAAGAATGCAAGAGTCAGAAAGAAGGTGCTCGCAAAGGGTATCGTGTGGAGGTGACACTTTGGCGAGAGGTTGGCGAGTGAGAGAGAGCACGTCGCGGACGAGATTTGGAGCTGCAAAGGCGCTCGGACCTCACCGAACCTCCGAAGAATTTGGGACTTGCGTTTGCGACATGCATCATCTGCATGCTCGACCCCCGCGAATCCGCAATTGAATCTTGTCGCGCATCACAACGTCGACAATGGCTTCAAAATGCCTTGGCGAGCTGATGCTCCGTCCGTCTTCCATAGCTTGCATGCCACATGCGCATGTGGGCAAGCAGACATTGCCATGGATACGGCACCGCGGCTTCTCCTACACCCCAACTCGACCGGCACAATCAACGACGAACGACGGCAATGACCAAAGCTACACATCCGGGGGAGAATCAAAAAAGCCAATAATCCGCTACGTCTCTAAGCAAGCGGATACAGAGGCGCAACCACAGCCACAAGCCCAGTCACAGCCCACCCAAGACGAAACCACACGAACAATTGACTCTCTCTTCAGTGGCATGCCCACCAACCGGACTCCACCACCATATATGCAACAAAATGCCGCGCCAGCATCGAAGGGAAACCGTATATTTGGCGCGGAATTCTCAAACGCAACCCGCTCCCGGCCTTCTCGCCCACCGGGCCTAGCATTTGACTCCATGGCGCTACCCGACTCGATGCTGAACCCTAACTTGTCCAACAAGCCCTCTGATGCATCCAGCCTAGCCGTACAGCAAGAAGAGACGTTCTCCTCCTACCCGCGTCTTAATCCAACATACGGACGCACAGTGGAGCTGGATGCGAGCCGCGGACGAGATATTGTGCGGGGAATCGGCATGTTGGGCAGTTTAGTGGCGCGCAACAAAGTCAAGGCCGACTTCAATAGACAGAGGTTCCACGAAAGAGGGGGTCTAAAACGAAAGAGGCTCGCGTCGGAGAGGTGGAGGGCAAGGTTCAAGCAAGGCTTCAGGGACGTCACTGGACGAGTCACTGAGCTGACGAGGAAGGGATGGTAGATGTCCGAGCTTATACGACGCAGGAGCCAGAAGATGCGCCATGTATGACTTAGGTACGAAGTTCACAGACTGTATTATAACAGCATTTGCATGTGCCTGCATAGGGGTATCGAAATCTCAAAGACATGTGGTGCGGGTATCATCTTACATCAGATTCCACGCACACTATTTTTACCACCGATTCACTCTACACGCTGTCTTGTGCCATTTCTTCACTCTATCAGGTGCACTACACCACGCATGTAACGGAAATATTCCAACTGTACCAAACCGATCATTGGAGACCAAGTAGGATGATTGGATTCTCTAACCACTGCGGAGTTGGCCCGGAGGTCTTGAGCCGCCGCGGGAAAACAGCCGCGCACAGGCCATCCAACCGTGGACCCAACCATGTCCTCAAGTTGACACGGCGCATCTTGAACCACACCCCGTAGCTGCCCTCGTGCGCAGCGCAATGTACTCCCAATAACCAGCCTGTCACCAAACACCGAAACGTCTTCGCAATCGCATCGTTAAGAACCAGAAAAAAAGAAAAGGCAGAATGTCACCCCAATCGTCCAAGAGACCCTGGCTCCCAGCCGTCGCCCTCTTCTCCTTCTTCAGCACGCTCGCGACGGCATTGAGCGGTCAGGAGCCGCTGGGCACTCTTGAACAACAACGCGGATACAATCCCGGCGAACCAATTCCCGTCAGCTGTCTGAACCGCACTATGTAAGTCGAGTTGTGTCGCAAACAAAGGACAACAGAACAATGCGCTGATGCTTTCCTCCAGAGAAACAGGTGAACATGTACGTTCTCTAGCCATACCCACGCTGCAGCAATCACACCTCGAAGAAAACCAAAAAAAACTAAACAAAGTAAAACATAGATCACAGACGCAGCCGGCCACTTACAATACATACCCTTCCCCGTCTGCAATGAAACCGGCCGCCCCCTCGAACTCTTCTTCGGCGTCGAAAAAGACGTAAACTGCACCATAGACTTTGTAACCGACGAATTCTTCCACCGTACGTCCTCCTCCCCCTTTCCCTCTCTCCTCAAACTACACCCTCCCCTCTCTAACACATCAACCTACCGGTTACAGTCCTCGAATTCTACATCCACAACGACGCCCCCCTCTCCTGCCGCGTCCCCTCGAAACCCCTGCCCCCCTCGGTCCTCGCAACCCAATACATCGTCTCGGACAGCTCGACCCAAGAAGGCGCTCTCGGATCTCAATCTTCTTCTTACACCCCGCTCGTCGTCGCGTTAGCGGGTACACTGCAACTCTCACACTTGCACGTTGGCAATCATCTGAATCTGCTAGTCCATGCGGCCCCGAAGCAGAGCAGCCCGGGCACCATCGATGCGGCGACAGCGTACAGTGTGAGTAGTCACTCGCGGAATACAAAGATTACGATTGGAGATAGTTTGCCGTTGGTGTTTGCGGTGAGGTGGTATCCGAGCACCACGTTGCCGCCGGGTTGGAGTGGGTATGGGGGCCACATTTATACGAGTACGCTGGTGTATTGTTTTCTGAGCGCCGTGGCGAGTGCGGCCGTCTGTGTGGTGTATTTTAGGGGCGTGGAGCTGCCTAGGAGGTTGAAGAGGTATGCGACGGATAGGATGAATGGGGGTGGAAGAGGGTTTGGCAATGGAGGAAGCGGCTATGGACTACCTGTTGCGAACGCGAGAGATGGCGCTCCAAGTATGGGTAGTGGATATGGCTTGGGAGGATATGGCTACAGAGGTGGAAAGAGAGCCGACTAAAAAGTATGTACATACCAAGCAGTCATTCAAAACATAGAATCCATACACCAGTTCAAGGAGGCAGAATTTATCCATGTTCATATTTATTCATTCGTATATCATGATGCTGTGGCTATTTAGGGATGCTCCAGGCGCTTACATACTACATACTAATTTGGCCTTTTTTTTCAGGAAATCCTCCAGCCGTTACAGCTGTGCCTCCACCGTCAGATGCATTCCGTCATTTACAAGGCAGACTTCTTCTTGAACGCATTGATGAGCCCGCTGGTGCTGGCATCATGAGCAGTCGACTCCTTGTCATCATCAAGCTCAGCCTGGATCTTCTTGGCCAGTGACTTGCCGAGCTCAACACCCCACTGGTCGAAGCTGTTGATGTTCCAGATGGCACCCTCGGTGAAGGTAAGGTGCTCGTAGTAGACAATCAAAGCACCCAGAGTAGCCGGTGTGATCTTGTCTGCCAGAATCGAAGTAGTCGGACGGTTACCAAGGAACGTCTTGTGGGCAACAAGCTCCTCTGGTGCTCCCTCCGCCTTGACCTCATCTGGCGTCTTGCCGACCATGAGAGCCTCAGCCTGGGCGAAGAAGTTGGATGCAAGCATCTTCTGGTGCTTGTTGTTGTCAACGGGGTTGTGGCTCTTGGCAGCCAGGATGAAGTCGGTGGGAATGAGCTTCGTGCCCTGGTGAAGGAGCTGGTAGAACGAGTGCTGTGCGTTGGTGGCGGGCTCACCAAACAGAATGGGGCCGGTGGTGTACTTGACGTAGTCACCGCTGCGAGTGATGGCCTTTCCGTTTGACTCCATGGAAAGTTGCTGGAGGTAGGCAGGGAACCTGTGCATATACTGGTCGAACCTAGACAATAGTTAGAATACATATCACCTGATCAATGTCACAAACTTACGGAGAGACAAGATGTGTCTGGGCACCGAAGAAGTCAGAGTACCATACACTGAGCAGACCACCAATGACGGGAATGTTTTGCTCGAGAGGTGCCTCCTTGAAATGTTTGTCCATAGCGTGGGCACCAGCAAGGAGCTGGTGGAAGTTGTCGAAGCCAATGTAGAGGGCAACACTCAGGCCAATGGCACTCCAGACACTGTAACGTCCACCGACCCAGTCGGAGAAGCCAAACATGTTCTTCTTGTCAATACCAAACTTGGTAACCTCTGCCTCATTGGTAGAGAGAGCGACAAAGTGCTTGGCAATGTCCTCCTGCTTTGCGCTGTCCAAGAACCATCTCTTGGCAGTATTGGCGTTGGTGACAGTCTCAGCTGTGGTGAAAGTCTTGGAGGCAATGAGGAAGAGGGTAGTCTCGGGGTTGGAGTCCTTGAGAGCCTCTGCAATGTGTGTGCCGTCAATGTTGGAGACGAAGTGGATCTTGAGGTCGCGCTTAGCGTAGGCCTTGAGGGCTTCTGAGACCATGACGGGGCCACTGTTCCATGTTAGTGACGCCGCTCGAAGCTCTATAACACCGCCATAACATACAGATCAGATCCACCAATACCAATGTTGATAATGGTATCAATCTTCTTGCCAGTATATCCCTTCCACTCGCCGCTGCGGACTTGCTCGCTGAACTCCTTCATGTGGTCGAGAACGCTGTTGACATCTTCGACAACGCTCTGGCCGTCGACCTTCATCTCCTGGTTGGAGACGTTGCGGAGCGCAACATGATAGACAGCACGGTTCTCAGTGAAGTTGATCTTCTCACCGGCGAACATGTCATCACGGAGCTTCTCGAGGCCAGACTCCTTTGCAAGCTCGACGAGCAGCTTCAGAGTCTCCTCTGTGATGAAATTCTTGGAGAAGTCGAACAGAATCTCAGAGTTCTCGGCATCATTCTTAAAGGTACGGCTGAACTTCTCGAAGCGCTACAAGGGATTAGACAATGGATGCATCGGATCGTTTGTGACTTACCTGGGGGTCCTTCTTGAAGTACTCCTTGAGTACAATGTCCTTTCCAAGCTTCTGGTGGTGGTCCTGGAGCGCAGACCAGGCGCTGAGGTCCGAGGCTTGTGCGAAGCCAGGCATGTTGAGCTACAGGGCTGGAAAGGTGGGGTGAGCATGCATGACGTACATGGGACTGGTGTATACGAACTATCAAAGTTTTTCACGGTGAACGGTCGGGTATCAGGAGGGGTCAATTACAAGAGGGAGAGACGAGTGAAGATTTGCAAGTAGAGTTGATGAGGTGATTGTTAGTGTTTTGACTGAAGGGTAGGAGAAATGTCAAAGGCGCGCGCGGCCGAGACCCCCGCTTGCGTCAGAGCTTGGTTGAGAGGGGCACCACTTTTACCAGCATTAGGAAGCCGGCCAACAGCTCTCCCGTTGGCTCTAGCCTTACCAAGCCGATGAGTAAGGTGTGTCTCATGGACGCTACTGCTATGCACATGGGTGAGTTATTATGCACCATTGGGGGCATGTGGTTCAATGGGGATATCGTCTTGATTTGCTTTGCCTGAATGTAGGCATTTCTCATACAAATGCTGCCTCAAGCGCCATACCGTTGCTCCCGAACCCAAAAAAGCATCAAAGAGCGCTGAGAAGCCACCAATCAATATGCATTCTGTCTGTGGAGCCATCCAAAGCCGGTGGATGATTTTCCTTGCGCTCGGCTCCATCGCCGGGACAAGCCAAGCACCAACTCAACGGCTCCGAAGCCGAGTTATTTTGAGTCCAAAAGTGCTTTATCTTTCAGTCACGCCCTCAAAAGACGGGTCCTTTACTGAGCCACCTGCATCCCCGAGACCAGCAACGGGGCGGTTGTATGACCAACCTGCAAACTGCTGTTGCATTGTCTGGGAGAGCATCGGTCCATCGACATAGGAGTCCGTCGGCGCCTCGGAAGTGAACTCGCGGTCGAAGTTTGCAGTGTCCTTTGCGTCAACCTGCAATCTGTTAGCATGCAGCGATATTTGGGTCTTGTGAGTATACGCACCACATTGGGCTTGAAGCTAGGCTCGTACTTCCTCTCAAGCAGCTTTCGCCAGTCGATGCTGTGGAAGAAGTAGTGTGCCTTGATTTCTGCCGCGCCCTTGGCTCCTAACCGCTTCTCTGCGTTACGGTCTAGCAGGCGAGTCAACAAGTCTCGCGCAGCCGGCGGTACAACTTCGGGGCCTGGGAAATGAAGAGGCTCGGTAAGAATCTTGCGGTACATGTCGTTGGTGTTTTCATCGTAGAACGGTGGCAGACCAGTCAACATTTCATATAGCAGCACACCAAGCGTCCACCAATCCACGGCCTTGGTATAGCCAGCACCAGTCAGAAGCTCAGGAGCAAGGTATTCTGGGGTTCCGCAGAACGCTATGCAGGGTCAGCGTCAGGATGCGGCAAGGGTCCTAAGCGACTTACTGTTTGTCCTGTCTTCGTCCTTCATGTCAAGCTTGCAGAGACCAAAGTCGCAGAGAGCAATGTGTCCAGTGTAATCAAGCAGAATGTTCTCCGGCTTCAAGTCACGGTAGATGACATTAAAACCGTGCAGACATTCTAGAGCACAGAGTAGTTCAGCAGCATAAAATCGGGCTCGGTTGATATCGAAACGCTGCTCCTTCTGCAGGTGGTGGAACAGCTCGCCACCATTGACAAATGCCAGGACTAGGTAAAGCTTCTCTGGCGACTGGAACGAAAACTTCAGTGGCACAATGAAGGGGTTGTTGATCTGGGCCAATACTGAACGTTCGGCCAAGGTATGTGCGACTTCAGAGCGCGAAATAATGTGTGCTTTGCGGATAGTCTTGAGGGCGTAGATTCGGTGCGTATCCTTTTTCCTGTTTTGTGTGAGCATACGAGAGATGGGAGTGGAAGAGTAAGCACATACTGCACCTGCATGACCTTTCCAAAACTGCCTTTGCCTACAACCTTGAGGAGCTCAAAGTCATCGATTGAAAGACGGTCCTGTCGGTTCTCGACGAAGTTAACGCCAACCTTCATTTGACCACTACCAAATTGCACGGGTATCCAGTCAGCGCCGGCCTGGCCAGATCCATCTTCTGCCTTTGCCGGCTTTCCATCTTGCTGCTGCTGCTCCTCGAATCGTGGCGTGACTTTGAGAGTACCGATAAAGATGTCTTCACTACGACCGGCAGTGGGTGCGGCGGAAGGGTTGCGGATGTAGAGCGAGACGGTGACGTCGGTAGCGCGGGACACATCGAACTTGTACTGGGTGTTGCTGCCGGCCCAAAGAGGGTTCTCGGGAGTACCTGAAACGGCGTTGATGAAGACTTGTTGCTTGTCGAAGTCGACGAGGGCGTAGGGAAGGTGTTTCGAAGAGTAACGACCGTGGATGGTGGGCGCTGCGTTGATGCTGCCAGCAGCAGACTGTGGGCGGCCGGCGTAGGAGCCAGCGGCGTTGCGAGAGGACGAGCCAGGGCGCATTGAGCCAGCGACAGAGAGGCCGCCACCCTGGGACAAGGAGCCCTGGTGGTGGCCTTGGCCGCTGAATTGCTGCTCAGCGCCGGGAGGCAGTGAGAATTTCTGGCCCTCATGCAGGGTGACTATGAGGATACCTGGGCGCAGGGGCCCAGCAGGCGCGGACGATTGTGCTTCGGACGCAGCTGTGTCTGTGATCAGCAGAGGCGAAAGCAGGGGCGGGAGCGTGTGTTTGTACCAATGCCATTGTCCTTTGCGTCTGTGAGGCTGCTCGCATGGCTCGAGGCCTTGGGCGTGGCCTGGTCGTTGACTATTGTGGACGTCGACGACGAGCGACTGAATGTGTTGGCCAAGGGCGCCAGGTGCGTCTCCTTGAGTTCTGCAATGGTGGTTAGAATTGGAGCGGCAGCGCAGACGAGGGCAGGGGACACGCACTCTTGGTGAGCTTCCAGGACATGATTGCGGCAGCTCAGCGGTGGTTAGGTGCAGAAAGACAGACGAATATGGTCAGAGGGTGGAGACTTGGGGGCGGGCGGCGAGAGAGAGGGGGGTGTGCGCACCCAAGCAGCGGCGGTGCAGCTTATGAGGGCAGGGTGGGCGTGGGCTTGCTGATGGCGCAGAGGCAGCGGAAAGGAGAGAGAAGGCCAGAAGAAAGCTTCAGGGAGCGTCGACAGTGGCAACGTGTCTGGTGTCCGAGAGCCGCCCAGCGCTTTGAGTACGCTTCTCCAGAGCTCGAGATAGGGTCTCACGTTTGAGGGGTCATTGGGTCGCTAGCCTTAATCTCGGCCGGCGGCGACCAGGTCGTGTTTCCCGCACTGACACGCCCATTCGCGCCCTCTGTCATTTCCCAGTGTTTAGACCCGCCCCTACGACGAGCAAAGACGCGGGCCGGCCGCCATTCTCTCCTCTCTGCTGGCGACAACGGGTGCCGGGAGACGCGACATGTTGTAGCAGATGCCCAGGGCAGCGTGCAGTGCAGTGCAGTGTGTCTGCGTGCTTGCGCTGTCTGCTCGCCTCGGCTGCAGCTTCCGCCGCGGACAACCTCCTATTGCGCGTACATAGACACATACACACACACACACACACACACACACACACACACATCACCGCATGCCGGCTCACCCCCGCCGTCATTCTGCATCACCACCGCCGTCCGACATCGCATCGCATCGCATCGCCGCCCCGAGACCTGGAGACGCGCATCCGTGCAGCCCTGGGGCCCTGTCGTCCCGCTGTGTTGCAGCCCAGCTGGCGGCTTTACCGCTAGTCCGCCGCCTGCGAACTGACACGCGCGTCTGCAGTGCCCTGCGCACAGCCACATGCTCTGTCTCACCTCCGCGCGCCCACCCCAACCCCAAACCTGACCCGTCCAGCGTAGTCGCCTAGTGCAGTCTGTGTGGCGACGAAGACGACGACGACGACACTCGCTCACCTGCCTCCCCACGCCCAGCCGAGCGGGGTACCATGGGCGTCATCAAGAAGAAGACAGGTGCGCGCGGTACCGAAGGCGGCACAAAGTATGTTTGCGACGTCTGCTCGTCCGACATCACCTCAACGGTCCGTTCATGCCTTGCTCTCTCTGTTGCCATTGCACACATGCTAACCCTCCCTGCAGGTCCGCATTCGCTGCGCCGAGGAAGTATGCCATGAGTATGACCTCTGCGTGCCATGTTTCGCCGAAGGCAAAGCCACAAAGGACCACCAGCCTGCCAAGCACAAGTTCAAGGTCATCGAGCAGCACTCGATTCCTATTTTCACCGAAGACTGGGGCGCCGACGAGGAGCTAGCTCTCCTAGAGGGAGCAGAGACGTATGGCCTAGGCTCCTGGGCAGACATTGCCGACCACATTGGCGGCTTCCGCGAAAAGGACGAAGTGCGAGACCACTACATCGACACGTACTTGAACAGTCCCAGCTTTCCCCTGCCGGAACACTGCAGCAAGGATGACACCGAGCTCAGCACCCGCATACCGCGTCACGAGTTCCAGGCGAGGAAGAAGCGGAGAATCGAGAAGAAGAAGGAAGAGGCTGCTAGTCGCGAGCCCGAAGCTCCCAAGCAGAAGCCCACGGCCAGTGTTCCCGCTTGTCACGAGGTCCAAGGCTACATGCCAGGTCGTTTGGAGTTTGAGACGGAGTATTTCAATGAGGCAGAAGAAGCGGTCCAGCACATGCAGTTCGAGCCGGGCGACGGCATCAATCCTCGCACCGGCGAGATTGAGCCCGAGATGGAGCTGAAGATGGTCATTATGGAAATCTACAACCACCGCCTAGATGCACGTGTGGAGAGAAAGAAGATCATATTCGAGCACCAGCTGCTAGAGTACCGCAAGAACCAACTGGCAGATAAGAAGCGCACAAAGGAAGAGAAGGATCTCATGAACAAAGCCAAGCCCTTTGCGAGAATGATGCTACACGCCGACTTTGAGCAGTTTTGCAAAGACCTCGAGTACGAGCACAATCTGCGCCAGGCCATCTCGCAACTACAGGAGTGGAGGAACATGCAGATTACCAGTCTCAAGGCTGGCGAAAAGTATGAGCAGGAAAAGCAGCAACGGCAGACCAGGCCACCGCCCATTGGCCAGTTCGACCGTCTCGCGTCCAGTAGGATGGCAAAACCCCAGCCTCCCTTTGAGCAGCCTTCAGCCGCCACTGCACTCCTTGCGCAAGAACTTCCCCTGCACGTCAAGCAGAGCAGCGGACTGAGTACACCGCCGCCAGACCGTGCCCCCAACAACACTAACAGTGTTAATGGCACTAATGGAGTGACGACCCCTCAGTTCACAAAGACCAAATTTGTACCTAAGCCACTTCCTAACACAGTGCCTCTGAAGTTTGGCAAAGAGTCCAAGGCAGATCTCCAGTTGCTTAACGCCGAGGAAGTAGAACTGTGCAGCGTCCTGCGCATCATGCCGAAACCATACATTGCGCTCAAGGAAATGGTCCTTCGTGCGGCCCTACTTAATGGCGGTGCGCTCAAGAAGAAGACAGCCAAGGAGATTTGCAAGATTGATACCAATAAGTCATCGCAATTGTTTGAATATTTTGTGCATAGCGGGTGGATAGCAAGGGCATAGGGAGGTGCTTGCTGAGCGAGAGGAGGAGAAGGATGAGGATGAGGAAGAGGATGCAAATGATATGTACGAGGAGAGAGGTCAATAATGATCTGTATGAGACATTGGGCGAGGAGGATCCAGCTGCTGATTAGATGGCGTCTAGGTAGGGTATACCCTGGTCACGGGAGGCGTTGTAACTTCGTACGTAGATGGCATTATCGCTTGCGCATCATTTGTTGAATACACATTATTCATGCGCCCTCCAAAAGGCGCTCAACAGACTCACGATGCGGCCAATGTCGCGACCACCTTGACGATGGCTGGCTGTCCAAGCTCCTCGCTACTCGCTACCCCAGCGACGGCTTACCATCATAAACAAACGATTGCCTTGCACGGTTCCCCACTCGCATCTCCATCACCACACACGCCACGCCCATTATGAAGCTCTAACTAATTCTCCGATTTCTGGGGACTTGCCGACTACCGAAGCTTTCGAGAAGCAGCACCCGCCATCCTTGCACCAAGGCTGACCTCATTCGTCCGCTCCGCTAGCCGTCCCTGAAACTACGTCCCACAGGCAACCCCGATCCACCTTCCCTGCATGGCCGCCCAGTTGCACTATCCCAACGACATGCCTGGACCGTATACGTTTTCGCCATCGCATACACGTGGAGATTCACGGAATAGCTGCTTCGACTCGACGAGGCGGTACTCGCTTGCGTCTGAAACCACTGGTCGCCAGGTGATTGACTCGGATGCGCACGAGACCCGGAAGCGATCGCGATATGGTGACAACGCTGCGCCGGGCTCTTGGAGCGACTACCCCTTGAGCAACAACCGCTTCGTCAACAACAAGAGTCCGCCTCCGCTCGCAAACGACCGCTACGAACTAGCCGGGGGGATGGATGGGCCACAGACATTCGGACGGCGAGACGGCGACTACGACGACTACTTCAACCTCCAAAGCCAACGCGGCACCTGGTCTGTACCTCCGACTCCCCAGGTTGGCCTTTCTACGCAGGCGGCGGCCGGAGAGATGCACACAACACCGAATGGAAGCAAGGCTTGGTCATTGATCAGCCTTGTAGGCGGAGTGGCCGGCAAGCTGTTTGAGTTTTGCACGGTACCTTTCCGCGGCTTCCAAGCAGGCAGTGGACAGAAATACAACATGGACTCGAACGCGGAGGTGGCGGAGAAACTTGGTCTTCAGGATGATCCCTATCACCCAGGACCCGTCCAGCAACCAACCCCAGGCACATTCCCGCGCGACGACTACGGCATCCAACCATTCCCCTCGATAACCCCGGAGCGTCCGCGATTAGCAAAACGCCTGCGCACAACAGACAACTGGGTCATGGTCGGCGCAGACTGTGAAATGGAATCCCGACCAGGCACACCGCGCCTCTCCGAGCGACGACTCCCAGGTCACGGCCGCTCACCCTCGTCCCAAATCCCACGCCCCGTCTCACGCACAACCCTCTCCACACCATCTCAGAAGCGCCCCTCTCTCATCCCCGTCTCGCGCCGCTCCTTGCACAGTCCCGCTCCTTCGCTTTCCAAATTCTCCCCCGGTACCCCTGCGTCTTCGCGCTCCTACTCCCGTCTTAGCTATGGCTCGCCAACTGCGTTTTTCGATAGGAATACTAGTGTAGCGAGTCCGTTGCCGCAGGAGAGCCAGCGCTTGATTGATAAGGTGCGTAGAGAGGAGATGGAGGAAGATGAGCGCATGCGGAGGATGAGCTTGCAGATGTCGGCTATGCTTAAGGAGGCGAATGAGGCGTTGGGGGCAAAGTTTGAGGTGGAGATGTTTGATGATAATGATTTGTGAAGAGTGTGGTTGGTTTGATTTGGGGGTTCGCTGTGTGTGTGCGTCATGTATGGAGAAACGTTCATTTGTGTCTTATAGGGAAAGATTGCTCATGAGTATTTTCCTGGTTGGTTTATCTGCGACATGGGGAGGCGTCTGATGGGAAGGTGTTTCTTTGGCGTTGCTTTCATGTTTCCTTCTTGACGCAAATTCAGAATGTTTTCTTCTGGATCTTTTTTTTTTTCGTTCCTTTATACCCTTGATTCAGAAAATCACCCTTAGTAGGTAAAACGTACATGTCAGACCTGGGCTTATGTGAGTGCCATGTCACTTTTTTTTTTCCTCCTTCAATAAATCCCATTAGAATGAAGTAGAATCTCTTTTTTTTTTCAAATTCACTTTGAGTAAGAAAAAAAAAGGTGACTAGAGAACGAGTAAGGTTTATACGATAAAAGGGTATATATATATATAACAACTATGGAAAGTTTCTCAACCTTTGAAACTAGAATGCAGGAAATATACAGCAAGAGAAAAAAAAAGATGGTAATCCATTCCAAACGCCCCAGGACATACCCCGTCTCAAACCCAGCATCCGCATTGCTTGAACTTGGCAAGCAAAAAAAAAACACACACACACATTTCACCCAAGCAACCTCCCCAACCCACCACCCAAACTAACACTCAGACTAAAACTCAACTTGACCCCTTTACCCTGCACCGACACCTCACTCGTCCTGTCCCCCCACTCCCTTCTCAACTGGGCCCTCTGCTGCAACACACTGGGCCGCTGCTGGGGTCTCTCTACCTTTGCACTATCTCTTCTCTGCATCCAGGCCGTCTGGCTCTCCTTGCTATCATTTCTCAGGGGCTCTCTCATAGCATCGAGGGCAGGCTGGTGGTGCTTTGGAATATTTGCTGCGAGCAGGGTGCCATCTTTGAGGAGGAGGAGGAAAGAGGCGTAGCGGTAAGGATGTAGCGTTACTGCTTGTACGTCTCTTAGACGATCGTCTTCCATTTTCTCTTCGAGAAGGGTGCGCAGGGAGGGGTAGCAAGGGAGTTGGCACACGGCGGCGTTTTTCTCAGTGATGAAGACGAAGGTGGCGTCTGCGCCTAGGGCAAGGATGCGGGGGCGGTCAAGCCACTTGCCATTTTTGATGTTTTTCTCGAGCGCGGAGACGAGGGCTGGGGGCAGGTTTTGCCAGAGATACGAGGACGAGTCGTGGGTGAAGAAGGAGGAGTTGTAGGGGCCTAGGTAGCAGCGGAGCTGCGCTAGGTTGCGGTTGGGAGCGTGGATGAAGGAGACGAGGTCCGGGGGTAGAGGGCCCGAGGATTCGAGGTGCGAGGTTCCCGTGGTGGAGCGGTAGGTGAGGATGAAGCTGTCTTCGAAGCCGAGGGTTAGGTGGTGGATGGACTGGAGTTTGGGGGATTCGAGGAGCCGGGAGAGTTTGGGGGGCAGGCGGGTACTGTAGTTTTGCAATCAGAGTTACGCATTAGTATTTTACTGTATTGTTTTACCACCCTTTGCTACATGGTATTACTACTACTACTGCTACGAGTAACTAAGCTCAAATGGGGAGGACTAGGCTAAGGTTAAGGTAAAGATAGGAAAGGGGGGAACCATACTATTCTCGCGCCGACGGACACTGGAAAAAGTGGCTGCCCCGCTGCCCAAACGTAAATGTCGAGTCGCACATTTTGCGGCGCGCCGGCGGGAAACTCGCTAATTTGGATTTCAAGCCCGCTCGCGCGCTGGCGGGCGATTCGGTCTAGATCCGGGGTTGTTGTTTCTAGGCGGTGTGCAAAAGACCGCAGGTGCAAAAGCGGGTATCGTCCGTTTGTGCTGGGACGCTACAAAAGTTATCAAACAACAACTTTGTTGTTGGAAAAAAAAACACATCTAACAAAAGAAAAGCAACGGTAAACTAACGAAAGAGAGAGAGAGAGGGATTCGATTGAAAGTTGATTGTCTGACCAGCTTGTTTGTCCCCGCCTTTGCTTTGCCAAGCTTGATCGGCTCCAGGGTGCAAACAGGAATAAGCCCAGCTGGCAAAGCCAAAAAGCATTAACGGCGAAGAGCCCATACTATTACTTTGCGTTTCAGGGCCATCGTGGATAAGACAAAAAAGGGGAAAAAAGAAGGGGTTAAAAGGACTCCCGGCAGAACGTCCCGCTTTGTAGTACATGTCATCGGTGAGTGACCCTTACAAACTAGGCAAAAAAGAATGCAAGAGTAGTGGCTCATTACTAACATTCTCTGCGGCTTTGTTGGAGTGACTTCTGACTACGTATGACGTCATAACCGATCTTCTCCCATCCAATCGCAACGTCAAACGGCTCGAGCAAATGAGTAGCAATACAGCGAGTACCACGTCCTTCTTCTCGTTTGGTCCAAACGATAGCTTTGTATCTAAAAGCGCGGCGGGACTACAGTAGTATGTTGAACCACCACCACCACCGTCACTACTCTTTCTCCCCACCCCCATTCCCCACCAGCCCTCCCTACACACACACGCACGTATAAATTTTTTTTTTAAAAAAAAGAATTAAATCAATAAATAAATCCCTAACCCACCCCACTGTCGCAACCTACCATCTAGTCTCCAAGACCAGCTCCTCAGCAGGGCGGTATCAGAAGTCCACTGGGCGGTCCTCGGCCCGTCGCCCGAATCCTGGGTGCTCAGCTCCAAAGACAGCGCGGGCAAGAGCAGCCTGAAATGGGGCCCTGCCGTGCCTTCTCGACTGCAGACGGTGCTGAATAAAACATGGCACTCGCCGCATCTCCGCGCGTTTCTCGGCCCAGACGACAGCTTCCTCGTCTGGCATCCCGACCTGATCCGGTGGGGCAATCTGCCGACGGCGCTCGAAGACGCATTGCAGTCGTGGCTGACGCCGTCGGGATGGCGGGTTGGTCCGCCGCGGATGGTAACGTGGGGTCCTGAGGGCGCCTTCTTCGCCATGAGCGAGTACGGCGATGTGGTGTTTAAGCTGGGCGAGGGCGACGCGTGGGAGATTTACAAAGAGACGGTTGACGAGTGGAAGGCGGAAAAGGGGTTTCAGTGGAATCAGCTGGCGTACATTGCGCTCGACCCCTCGAGCGCGGATCAGTTTATCGCCGTGAGGAAGGATGGCACGTGGGCGGGCTCGATTGACGATGTCAATGAAGATGCGCTCGAGGGGTTTGCCCTGAACTTCTTTGCTAAGGCGAAGACCAAGCACCGTGCCAAGCAGAGTACCTCGCAGCCTGGCGCGGGACAGCCGCAGAATGGGACGCACGAGTCTGAGGAAAAGAGGAGGGAGGCCGCGACTAAGGCGCTGTATGAGAAGTGGTCGGCAGAGACGGCGAGCATGTTTGCGGCGGCGGCGGCGGCGGCGTCGGCGGGCCCGAAACAGAAAACACCACGCAAGATTCAGGTACGTTCGCAGTCGACTAGCTCGGATACGCCGCCGCCGTTGCACAGGTTACCTTCTTCTTCGCCCAAGCTTTTCACAATGTTTCCCTATCTGCCTGGTAGTCTTACGACGTGTGCGCTGCCAGCGTGCAAGATGCTCAAGCTGGAAGAGAATAGTATACACGCCTGCCATCACGATGTAGAGAAGTTGCTTCGTGCCAGTGGGCTGTATAGTTACGAGTGGTTGCGTCAAGAGCGATTACGTTGGCATCCGGATCGCTTCGGGAGGCTGTGTGCGGAGGAGTGGAGAGAGACGGGGAAAAGGCTTGCGGGCGAGATGTTTAAGCTTATGAGCGTTTTGATGGAGGATCTCAAGGGGGATGCGGGGCAAGGGGGTAGTAGGGGTTCGTAGATGTATGAAAGAATCACAGTCCGCGTGGGGGTCCGAGTGTGATCTTGTAGCATAACAGACGAGTGTGAGAAATGAAGAATGGATTCAAAACTAAGTGAGTAGACTATAAAGAAGCGTCGGGTAGTAGAGGAGACGGGGAGTGCAATAAAAGGTACAAAAAGGGGCTTACGTAGTGTTGCGAGCATGCTCTTACGTCCAGCCCAAGGAAGCAACAAGCAAGAACATGCGAAACAGCACAGCCGACAAATCAATCCCTCATCCAGTGAGCCACTCACTCAACGCGCATTCATCCCATAAGAAGAGGACCAGCCAGAACGCTTCAAGCAGGACAAAACGTCTCGGTCTCGTAACAAACCTCTACGATCGCCGTCTCATCAAAACGAACACACTTGTTCATCTCGCTACAGTCAAATCTCGGCTTGCAACCCTGTATATCAATCAGCTTTAGCATCCACACCACTTCGGCCATGTAATCCAAGAGGTAAGAAACTCACACGACAGTCTCTGTCTCCAGGAGTGCAAGCACGGCAGTCGGTGTACCCAAACTTCAACGACAATACCGAACCATCGTCTTGAATATCCCACGGCTTGGCACTTGTTGACCCGTTGTTGGAAGCAACAGCGTTTGCGTCGCGTTGAACGAGAAGTGTAGCCGCACGACCGAGAATCTTGTCCGAGGCTGTAGAAACATTTGCGGTGTCCAGCATATCGATGCAGATATTGTGGCTGCTGAAAGGACTGTTGCAGAATAGGTTGCCACCACAGCTGGGACAGGCGAAGTTGCACTCCTATATTTGAATGTGTGAGCAAGGACATCGCGGATAGTGGCATGCAAGGGCAGCGTGTTTGAACATACCTGACAGGCTGAAGCATCTTCACAAATGTTGCAAGATGCTTCCTTTATGTTGTACTGCTGACGGGAGAGTAGACCAGTGACTCGGGGCCCATGGGCTGTTGTGAAGGACGGGGTTGGAGAGCTGGCGCTTGGGGTTCTTGGGATTATCAAGTTCCTCCTGCTGTCGAGCATGATGGGTTTTGTGACGGGTGTCAGGTATCGAATGGTCTGGGTGGAAATGATGGTGCTGTCGGGATCAATGGGTACGATGCTGACTTCCCTGAAAACTGTCTTGGTAGTTTGGGTCGGGAAGGGAGTGAGGACAGTGGTTGTTTTTGTCACAACAGTAGATACCGTGATAGTAACCGAGGGTCCGCCTATGGTTGTGGGCAGAGGTGCGGTCGTAGCCACGGACCTCGCCTGACGTGAGGTTATGATTGTCTCCGCGGATATCGGTGTAGGCACAGGCAGGTAGTAGATAGTCTTCGTCTTGGTCTCGACTGGTCGAGGGACAGGATCGCAGGGGACCAGATACTTGGGGCGTACGCTCATGCACATGGACACGCCTGAACTGGGGTCGACACACTTGAAGTGTTGGCACTGGACACAGTCACTGTGGCATTCCTAGCACATGGAGGTTTAGTGCCATGAATTGAAAAATGGGGGTGAGGGAAGTGCGACGTACCGGACATCCATTTATATCACATTCTTCACATTGGTCTCCTGTAAAGGCAACGTGGCGGCCGAAAAGCGGTTGCGTATCCGCGTGAAGAGAGACGTTCTGGCTGCGTCGAGCTAATTGGTTATCGTTCTGGAGTGTGTTAGTGAACCATCTATCAAAAATCGGTATCGACTTCACTGGAGGAAGACTGAACATTGGCAAAATTGAGCGGAGAAAACTTACCATGTTAAGCGTTACGGCTGAAGAAGTGGTGTTGGCCTTAGAAATTTCGACAACACGTACGACTATGGCAGTTGCGTTGACGCTCTTCGCAGACCACTCAGAATAAGGTTCTTCGACAGGGTGAACAGAATCTGAAGCAGTGACGCTTGTAGCGGCGGCGGCATTGTGATAGTACGAGCAGTGGTTGTTCCCGTCACAGCCGAACCGCCAGTCACCGTCAACGCGATCGGATTCGGAACGATGTGCTTCCCCAAAGGCCTTGCTGAATTCTGGCTTTGTGGTTGAAATGGACTGTGCAGCAATGCCCACGGCAACGAAGCCAGCAAGAACGCCAGCGGTGACGCGCATAATGACTAACGTTATTGCTGAAACTCGATAGCTTCGGGTGCGGAAAGATGGGCCCGGGTAAGGATACTGATTTTGGATGAATGGAGAAGAGTGGATGGGATGGGGTGGGGTGGATGTGAAGAAGAATGGAGTTTTGGGACTGGCATGGTGGCTTATATACACTGGAAGGAGTATGCGCTGTTGATAGTTGTTGGGAATCTGTGACGAGAAGCTGCTGCCGTTGGAACCTGATGTTTACCATTGACTCGAACTTGCGAGAAGGAGCGGGTCTGTCGGGTGGCATTCGCCATCTACTAAAGATGGCAAGAGCAGACAATACATGTGCGAAGCAAAGGAAGTAGCCACGACGGATTGATGTTCGAAGTCATGGGAGCAACATGGCCTTGGTAAGTGCTTACTTGGTGATATGGCACAAATGATCTATGCTAGACACGCCAACATGGCTTGGTGTAAACAGGTAGCTGCAGTGTCCATTTATTCTACAGTTGATCGCCCTACAATGCATCACCCGTGACTTCCTTGGAGCATCATCAATTACTCGGTGGCCGCAGTGTATTAGGGAAAGCTGCACACGGCAGCCAGCAGAAATGTTTGCTCCAACAGATACACAGTCCAGCTCCGAGTTAATAGAACGCATGCTTTAGCCTTGTCACTAATTAGCTCTTGTCGGGGTCTGACGTCGCGCCTACATCGTCGGGAACGCAGGGATGACACTACTAATGAGTGTTCCAGCCGCGATTCGACAAGTACCGTGAAGTGAGGAAAGACAGGCAACGGCTTCACCCTCATCGATATGCATGCCCTTCACTCACATTCACCCCATCCTGCGTTGTGGCCCAACAGTCACTGGCAAAACAAACGCCTCTAGACCCACCCAAGCCTGCTCCCCCAGCCAACGGAGCCAGCTTTGCTTAGGCTCTGATTTCTTTTCCTACCCCTTCCCAGAGTTGTTGCCCACTTGGAGCGCAGTATATCCACTGCTTCATCTCTCATAACAACCCCTACTCCATCAGTTCGTCACTATTAATTCCCCGCCATGGCTCGCAACGACGCTCCAGGCATGTTTATGAGCCTCCCACTCGAGATAAGACACTCCATCTTTGACTATCTATCGAGCCGTGCAACATCACTCGGCAAGAATAACCCCAAGCGGCTTCTACTTCACTGGTTTGAGAAGGAGGATTCCGACAATGTCATTGCTGAGTACATGCGCCATCACCCAAACGGACCTGAGCCGATTATCAATTACAGCTGGAACGACGTCATCAGTGCAAGCGAGGATGATGGCGGCAGCGATAGCGACACCACTCGGGAAGACGAGACGGACACAGAAGACGAAGAAGATGAAGAAGAAGACGACGAAGAAGACGACGAAGAAGACGACGAAGACGAAGACGAAGATGATGAAGACGACCGAGACGACGGAGATGGCGGACGTGAGGAAGAAGTCAACTATCCGAACGCGACTGAAACTGTTGGACACGGTACTTACACCAGTCCGTATCGGCCTATGACATATCCCAATGCCAAGTGGCGTCATGTTGTAAACTTCATATCCTTGACCCATTTTCCGCCACCTGTCGAGCTACTCTTGACGTCCAGACAACTGAACCTCGAGGCCAAGAACTGGTTCTATAATGTCGCCATCTTGCGCATCAATGCAACCCGCAACATTGCTCATACATCCTTCTTCGAGGAAGCTTTGAGGCAGATTGCCAATGCCGCTTTCTCGCCTATGCGGAACATTCGAAAGGCCGAAGTGAAGTTTGTTTGGGACTCTGCCTGGATTCGTACCGATACGACTGGTCTTGCGGAGGCCGTCTTCCCTGCTCTTCTCCAACAGCGAGCTAGCTTCGTCTACAAGATACTGTTGAGAGCCCCTGATTTACAAAAGGTTGACATTGAGTGGTAAGTAAAAGCCGCATACATACGAACTATGGAACAAGCTGGATTAACTCCCTATGCAGGTATGACTCTGTCCAAGATAACGAGAGCGCCAATCTGAAAATGGAAGTCCTCAAAAACTTCGAGACGCTGTCCGCTACGGTCAATGTTGAGGAGCACTACCTCGCGGCCGATGCTCAACCCAAAAAGCATAGCATCGCTGGCAAGCGTCGCCTTGAGTTCGAGAGCTTCTTGAGTGATCTGATGCTAGGCCACCCTTCTTAGGCCCGCCCTTTGCCCTTGCAGTCCCTTTCACTGGATGCACGCATGCGCTTGAGACCTTCTCCACTCAGTTTGGAAGGATACTTTCTTGATCTCCCCAGCTCATGTACGATTGGCAATCTTCTTCCCTGGCGACCAGGCCTCTTCTTGTGTAACCCAGATATGTCCAATTGGCTAAGAGCACAGCTACACCAAGGGTGCGCAGTACAAGTTAGGCATTTGATAATATCCGAAGGACATGCAGATGGGTGGTTACACGTTACATTTATTACCCACAAAGGGAGGCCTCATAATGCAAACAAAGTCCCGAAAATTTCTCCACCTGCATATTTGTGCTGCATGTTTCATTGGCTGCGAGTTGAATTCAATCCCACCTGGATACTAACTTGTTTGCGATATGCCGAGGTACCCCCCCCCCCATCTTGAAGGCGAGATGCAATCCTTTTTAAGTGTTGGTACAAGCACATCTTTCGTCTGCCCGGACGGCCGCAATTGGCCGAATCCGGGTTGAAGTGCGGGGAGGGAACACCTGACCGTGTGCTTACTTCCATTTCACCACCCGCGCAAGAGATTTGTACGACACGAAAGGTTGCCCTGAGTGGAGAATTGTTTTCGCACTAGCACTAGCACCACGCGGTGCCTCTAGTTTGCTATCCAGACGCCTCTCGAATGCGGAGCGGGTCCACTCGGAACACCAGAACCAGGCTACAAACAGTAAAAGATGCGGCTTTCGGTACTCATAATGCGGGGCAGACTCATGCCGGATGCTGCCCTCCGTGTATCAGGGTCCTAGTGGCTGACTCCTGACTCTTGACTCTCTGGGCAAGCGGGACAGCATGCACATCTTGCTATATATGCTGCAGTAAGCCGGAGTGATTGCCCTTCAGGATTGCCTCTATCCCATCCCTTTTCCAATTAAGCCAAATCACCACTCGATCCGTATCGTTCCCACCATGGGCATCTACTCCAAGCTTGCAGATGGTATTGAAGAAGTGGACGTCATCATCGCTGGAGGTCCGTTGCACTCCCTTCTTTTCGAGCACTGTCGTAAATCTAATGCGGTTGCTGTTTATAGGCGGAACAGCAGGATGTATCATAGCCGGCCGCCTCGCAGAAGACGATCCCTCTCTCTCCATTCTTGTGATTGAAGGCGGTGCAAACAACAAAGATGTTGCAAGTGTTGTAAACCCGGTTTTCTATCTGCAGCATCTTCTGCCTACCAGCAAAACAGCGCTTTTTTACAAGGGCAACAAGGCTAAACAACTTGCTGACCGAGAGCCCATCGTACCGTGTGGTGGTACGCTTGGTGGAGGCAGCTCGATCAATTTCATGATGTACACTCGCGCACAACGCTCAGATTTTGACTCTTGGAACACTCCTGGTTGGTCGGCGCAAGAGGTTTGGCCGCACCTAAAGAGACTTGAGACATATCACGGCCCAGGCAAGAAAGAACATCATGGCTACGATGGGCCTATAAATGTCAGCGACGGCGGTTACCGTTGTCGTGACGTGGAAGACGATTTCATCCGTGCTGCTGGGGAAGTCGGCTTCCCTGAGATTGAAGACCTGCAAAATTTGGAAGAAAATAACGGTGTTCAGCGATGGCAACGTTACGTTTCACCGGACGGCAAACGTCAAGATACTGCACACAGATACATACACCCCAAGCTCGAACAGGAGCAGTACTCGAATCTTCACGTACTTGTCGAATCGAAAGTCGTCCGTGTATTGTTCGACGACAACAAGCGCGCAACGGGTGTAGAATATACGCCAAATCCTGAATTCCAGTCGACTATTGGCCTCAGTATGCATCCAGTCAAGCAGGTGCGTGCTCGTAAGCTCGTCGTTGTCACATGCGGTGCCTGCGGCACACCACCAGTACTCGAACGCTCTGGCCTTGGTTCAAAGGAAATTCTCCAACGAGCCGGCGTGCCACTTGTAGAAGAACTACCAGGTGTAGGAAAAGACTACCAAGACCACCACCTCATTCTCTACCCCTACAAGACCTCTCTCGAGCCGCACCAAACCATCGATGCCATCCTTAGCGGACGCGCAGATGTGGCCAAAATGATGGAGAACAAAGACCCCATACTGGGCTGGAACGGCATAGACATATCCTCCAAGCTACGGCCAACCGAAGACGAAGTCACCGCTCTCGGCCCAGAGTTCAGGAAAGCCTGGGACCGAGACTTCAAAGACAACCCCAACGTACCTCTCATGCTATGCGGTGTAGTATCCGGGTTCCTCGGCGACCCAACCAGCATCCCAGCCGGCCAATACGTTACCACCGGAACATACACCGCGTACCCCTACTCTCGCGGCCACATGCACATCACGGGCCCCAAGCACGACGACGCACTCGACTTCGACGTCGGCTTCTTCAACGACAAAGACGACATCGACCTGAAGAAGCAAATGTGGGCCTACAAGAAACAGCGCGAAATCATGCGCCGCACCACTTTCTACCGCGGCGAACTCGCAGCCGGACACCCGCGCTTCCCCGCCAACTCCGCAGCTGCGGTCCAGGAATCCATCACTGAGCCGCTGAAGGATGTCAAGGATATCGTGTACACAAAGGAAGATGACGAAGCAATTGAGCAGTGGCTGAGGGAGAATGTGAATACGACCTGGCATTCACTGGGCACGTGCAAGATGGCGCCGAGAGAGGAGGATGGTGTTGTGGATAAAGACTTGAACGTGTACGGCGTCAAGGGCCTCAAGCTTGCTGATCTGAGTATTCCACCAAAGAACGTGGGTGCGAATACGAATAATACCGCACTGATGATTGGGGAGAAGGCGGCCGAGATTATTATCCGCGAACTGAAGGGAGCCGCGGGGACACCGTAACCGAGCCAATTTTTTTTTTCAAATTTCGAAGATTGATAGGTAACATGTATGATATGTCTAAAGTTCTTGGGAGGGGTTGTTGTTGTTGTTAAACATTTTTACAATCTATACCTAAACCTCTGATTCTCGCGATCCGTCAAATCCAAAAACTCCTCGTTCTCCACATGTTCCCGCCCACTGTGATTTTTCTTCTCCCTCTTCCCATTCTCCACCACATAATACACGCGCAGCACGACGGCCAAGCCCGCCGCAACCGCACACGTGACGATAATGGTAATCTTCGCGGGCACAAAGTCCGGGCTGTCTTGCTTGCGAAACGTAAGCGGGCCGATGATATTGCCCAGGCAAAACGACATGAGAAGCACCGCGTTCATCGTGACTTTCTTCGTGTGCCCCGCGTAGTTGGCTGCGACCCACGAGTACAGCAGCGGCAAGCTGGAGCCGATGCAGTTGGTCAGGTAGTTTCCTATCAACTTGCCCGTCTTCGCCGAGCTAGGCAAGAATGCCATGAGGCACCCGCCCAGCATCCCGGGAATCAGCAACGTAACAATGTTCAGCCCGCGCTGGTTGTAGCGGCCAGCCAGGTACGTAGCTATCAGAATCGAAATGATGCTGACGGCCCCCGAGGGTAGTTGCAGCAATGCGGTTGTTTTGGAGTTGAAGCCAAAGGATTTTATGAGCGTGGCTTGGTAGGAAGAGACGGCGCCGTTGGGCACGTTTGAGGAGATTGTGATGAGGGATAAGAGCCAGGTCTGGGGGTCTTTGAAGCATTCGAGGACTTGGTAGGGTTTGAAGTGCGTGTTTTCGATTCCAGTTTGGTTTGAGCGGAGGCGGGTTATGGCCCAGACTTTTTCGGAGGGGGTGAGGCGTGAGGACATTGGGTTGTCTGGGAGGAGGAATACCACTGGTGTTTTATGGTGTTAGGGGCTGAAAGACTTGGTGTATGGGGTGCTGGAGGAGTAGGGGGAAGGGGAAAGAGACTTACCGGTTATACCGACGACGACAGTGATGAGACCGACGACGAGAAACATGATTTGCCAACTTGTAAATGTATCGCTGTGGTAATGTTGAAATCCGAAACTAATCAAGCTTCCGATCATTGTTCCGGTGCCAACGCCCAGGTACCAGATACCAGTTCTCAATGGCTGTTCTGTCCGCTTGTACCACATGGAAGTGATGAGAATCAGACTGGGCGCAACTGCAGCCTCGAAGCAACCAAGCAGCACGCGTGTAGCGACCAGCGCGCCGTAGTTCTTACACACGCATGTCAGTGCAGTAACAAGGCCCCAGAAGATGACTGCGCAGCCAAGGTACTTTGCGGTAGGTAGACGCTGCATGGCGTAGCCGTGTGGGAACTCAACGACGAGATAAGAGACATAGAAGAACAAGGCGAGGTTGGAGAATTGGTCTGTTGTTATGTTTGCGTCGTCGTAGAGACCCATGACTGCTGCGTAGTTGACTGTCATGACTAATCAGCATGTTTTTCTGCCCCCCTGAGAATACTATTCAATTGCATACCTAGTGTTTTGTCAAGATATTGAAGGCAGTAACAGCACCACATAAGCGGCATAATCATCCAGTCGATCTTCCGAAGCAACCTACGTTCATCTTCGGGAGTAAGTTCACCGACATCATGTGCTGTTCTCAGAAACTCGAGTGCTGAGTCGCCGTTCTTGTTTGTCTCATGCACAGTGCCGATTTCAACGTCGGAGTACTGTGGCGATGGCGATATATCACCCGATTTTGACATGTCCTTCTCAAAGTCACCCATATTTGATGGTTTGGAAGATGGAGGAGGTTGAACCGTGATGGAAGGGAAGAGATAAATTCGTAGAATACCTTTCTTCTAGTATGTTTGTGAATGTGTGTCTGTCTCGTCCTTACATGTCGGCGTAGAACGTGCCGCATCGCATGCACATGCCGAAGTCGAAGCCGAACCCAGCACAATATTCCCAACTCAGGTCTACGTTTTGTAGATCCTTCTCCATACCCTCCAGCATATTGGCTAGACATCGTGTTTCCTAAGTTCCATCTCTTATCGTGAGCCCTGTTCCGACATCGCACTGGGTATGCTGGATCTCTCGCCTTCACCACAAGTAGCTTAGTGTGACCCCTCTTGCTGAACAGTAGATGCAGAGCGAAGAGAGGATTGGGTACTGGTCAAGCCGTTGGAGTGAAGACTGATAATGCGTTCGAGTGGATGATGTCAGTAAAGATAGGATGCAAATGATAACAGGGTCCATTTACTTGCGCGGCGCTAAACGGCGTTAGGAAGGTGGTGCTGTTGGAGAGTGAGGGGCGACTCCCAACGTCATGAAAAGCTGCACATTTAGTGCTATCGCAGCCGTGCAAGTGAGAGTGGAGATATATGATCTTCATGTGTTTCTCCTATTGGCTAAGTAGGAGTGTCGATAACTGTTTCAATATTCGACCTGTCGGTTCGGATCCATAATTCTGGCCAATTCCAACATGAGACGGTAAAGATATATTGTGAAGTCTTCCTTTCTCAGAAATTTTCCGTGCCATTCACGGCCTGCATCGGCAATCTCTTTCGCCCTCCTCTTTCCGTCTTCATGGGTCGTCATGTAACGCATGACTTCTGGCAGTTCGTCCATGGATAAGCTGATGGGGATAAAATGAACCCATGGAACGAGACGTTCATCGTGCCACTCACGTAGAACTGTCTGCTTGAGTACAACACTTCTCGATCTAAGTAGAGTGTAAAATCTCCCACTGAATGAGTTACCGTCCACATCAAACACGAATTGGGAGTGAAACTGTCGACTTCGTTCCTCTTTCTCACCAAGGGTGAAGAACTTCTTCTGCTCTTCGCAGTCTTTATCATCGCATTGGATGATGGCAGTGAGTTTGGCATCAAATAAGTCGTTGTGATTCTCGACTGCTTTGTAGTCAGTCCAATGTCCAGACTTGGACTCTTCAAGGTACATGTGACTGGTTCGATTAAGTGTCTGAACCAATTCGACAAATCTTTGACGGTGAGAATAGCGCCAGGTGCCGTTCCAGCTGTAGCTGCCAGTTGTACTGCCCGCCCAATATAGATTCCTGGCTTTCTGTTCCCAGAGAGGGTCGTCTTCGTCCTTATAAACTCCTTGGTCCATCTTTGCGGTGTACCAGGGACTAGGGTACATTATGTCTCCGAATGATGTTGGGGCTGCTTGAGAAAGGACAGGAATAGGGGCATCTGTGAGAAGACAGGTCATTGGTGATGAGAAGAAACCATGCATGAAACTGAACTCGGGGTGGGAACAAACATCCTTTGATTGATACCAATCTTGGACTAGATTTAGTCCATAGTCATGGATGACAGGAGGCTTCCCAGAAGAGCTGGTGTGCGCACAAGCGCTAGTAGCGCGCTCCCAAATTGATAGGTGATGGGCATCATAGAACTCAGGCTTTGATATGCCTCCAGTATCGAGCATCTGCTGTGTGATGACAACCCTCGGTTCGTCCACCACGTCAAAGGCAAATTCAACGTTGGGAATACCCTGCGAAACCTCTTGAAGAAGTTTTCCAAGATCTTCAACGATCCAGCCGCCGCCTTGTCCATGAAAGCGTCCGTCAGTAAAGCCGCATTTACGCAAAGCAAGATGTTGGAAACTTGACACATGGTTAATACTCTCATGAAGCCGTTGCGGGGCAATTTTCCAGAATGGCTTCAGATCCCTGTTGATAATGTCAAAATCATCGATGAGAATCGAGTTTTTAGATTTTGCATATGCAAACCATTGGGCGAACCCGGGAGGTGGAGACCGTGAGTATCTTCGACGATACTCAGTCTCAGCGGATTCGAGCGTCTTTGATTGCTTATCGACAAGATGCTTGAAATCGTCTTGAGCTTTGCGAATGAGTAGTTCGACTGGGTGATATTGGATGTTGTCAGATGATCCAGGCCAGTTCACGCCAGGCAAGGAAGTTCTATGCTGGCTCAAGGGAGTGTGCTGTATGAATGATGAAACTGGCCATAGAGCGAAGGCAACCAGTAACCCGCGGCCTTTTTCCGTTTTCGGTATAAAGTCGATTATTTGGTATAGATTAAGAATCGCAATAGTTGTGCGAGTGAAGGTTTGAGCCACGCCTAATGTGCCGCCTGAAGTTGGGTGTAAGGAGCTGACTGAAGCGGTAACATAAGCCCAGATGATAGGCGCGATTTCCCATGGGGTCTCTTGTGTCTGGGTATGTTAGCATGGGTGCAAAGTGATTCAGAATTCCAAAAATTCATACAAGCCAGAAAATGATGGTCCAATGAGTAGCCTTAAGACCGCCAGCCAACATTGCATAAGCTATGTCTAGTGTGCTTCCAGACCATGTAAGTATCATAATGACAGAAACGGCCATAAGCAATCCGATGGTGCGCGATGCGATGGAAAAAATGACACGCGTGGTCTTCAATCGTTCATTCTCATCGATCTGGTCATTTCCGGGGCCGAAAATGTGAATCAAAGATGCATATGTTCCTACGAGGCCAAGAGCAGTTGGGATAGCGGAAGCTAGCCTCGTTGTATCAAGAGTGGGGACAAGTGATACGAAAAGGATCATGCCTATCCCGAGCGTAAGCCACGAAAATTGAATGTGCCTAGGTAGCGATGCGTGGAGGCGTGTCAACCATGAAGTCGGACGACGTGCGAGAATTGCAAAGGCGACTACAGGCTTCAAAGACTACATTAGCAAGTTTCAGGATGTGAGCGAGTACCCGCTTACAGTAATCCATATGGGATCAACAAAAGAAGAAGATATTGCCGTGATAACTATAGAAGACGCAAAGGTCCAATACAGATATATGAGTGTCGCCGTAGAGGCAGCATTGTTGCTTTTCCAAATTTCTACACCAAGGCGATCAAGAGTTCCGAAGAACGCGATGACCAGTGCCCAGCATATCAATTCGGCAAGCACTGGAGTGTACCCAACATGCGACTGAGGGCTGAGTGCAGCTGTTAGGATTGCAGCCGCTGTTGCAGCGGTGAAACAACCGATACTTGTGAAGTCTTTCAACCCCATCGCAGAGTTGAAAATAAGTCAAGATGTGACAAGAAGAAGAGAGTGAGATGAATTCAGAGATCCTAACGATGTCAAGACCCGTCCGCATATGCGTTTGGAAATAGCGAGATTTTCGTGCATAACTAGGATGTGGAGTGAACGCCACATACCAGTAAGGCTAGGGTGCGAGGGTGTTGGGATGTAAGATTCAGCGCTTACTAGGTACCCACTGGGCGCTTAATTGTGATTCCGAACACGCTTTCACCCTCGAACTTCAACACTGTATTCATTTGCATACTCTGCTCATGTCATCAACAAAGTCTACAGTCTCTAAGTAAAATCATCGAAAAGAGGTTGGAGCTGCTCAAGTTGCCATGCCTTGATTTAATGGGTATGAAGCAGGCTTCATGCAGGGGCATTACTTCCATCACACCCATCGTAACCGAATGCGTCGAGGGATTCAGTGCAATCTTATGCACATACCTCGTTTATTGCGGCACAGCAACAAGGCGGTTGTGCTCTACCGCGTTGTCCAGTGTCGATTCCCAGACTACTGTAGGACTGATTTGCCCAAGTCATAACCTCATTTGTCTGAGTTGTCTATTTGACCGTCATCAAATTTATTCGTGCCTTTGTTTGCTCGACTTTCGTTGATTGTCTCAAGCACATTCTTATCGATCTATTCAATGAAGTTTCGGCACTTGCGCCAACTCCTCATCACCAGCTCGCTGCTGCCAACGTTGCCACTCGTATTTGCCGCACAATACATCTCTGTCCCATGGAGCACACAATACTACGGCCCAGATGGTCCCTGGCAGGCAGTAAAAGTTACTGTGGGTGGTACCAGTCCCGAAATTCTCCTGATCAACGAGGATCACCGGCAGCTAGACCTTCTACCTGGTGGTGAATGGAACAGCAAAATCCTGACTTCGAGGGCATGCAGGCCATACAAGAACTCAAGGTGTGGTAAAGGAGGAACTTGGGACCCTGACTTTCCTCCAAGTGTCAGTGCTTCTGGAGATTGGATGGATGAAGCCTCTAGAGTGAATTCCAGTGGACAAGGAATACTTCTCCAAGCTTCAACAGTTGAGAGTTTCTCGTATTGGAACTCGAGTTTGATCTTAATCGAGGACATTGTGATCACAAATCCTGACGGGAGCGTACGTGGACCGGAGCTGGGATCATTCGCGTTGGGAGGACCAGAACAGTCGCAGAAGTTCGCCACTGATTCGACCTTCGCCAATGCACCGATGGTTGGCTTCAGCTATGCAGGCGCCGCATACAATCGTAGTGCTACAAGGTCGTTCTCATACGGCTTGCAGATTGGATCAGCGTTTCATAATTACCCAGGCTCTTTGCTCATCGGTGGCTACGACAAAGGGAGACTTGTAGGATCCTATACGTCGTTCAACAAAGCTCCACTCTTGCTTGATATCAGCATTGGAGTCGCTACTGGTGGTTCCCCTTTCAGCTTCAAAGAGAAGCACAATCTATTACTGAGTAACACGAGTCAGAGCACAACTCTTTTTGCTCTACCCGATCCACGACAGACATACCTCCATCTCCCTGGGAAAACCTGTGAAGAGATTGCGAAACACTTACCTATCAAATTTGACGAGAAACTGAGATATTGGCTATGGAATACGGCAGATCCAGCCTATCGAACAATTGTAACCTCTTCAGCGTATCTTGGCTTCACTTTTCCTCCGGCTTACGGTGCATCAAACAACGTAACTATCAAAGTACCGTTCAGTCTTCTAAATCTAACGCTCGACACTCCTATAGCTGAGAAGCCGGCGGCATATTTCCCCTGCCAGAGCTATGAGCCATCATCCAAAGATACACCATACATCCTTGGTCGCGCTTTTCTTCAAGCAGCCTTCATAGGTCGGAACTGGAATCGTGAAGTGTCTTGGTTGGGCCAAGCTCCCGGCCCGGGTATCTCAAAGAACGGCCTTGGAAACGTCATGTTGAATATCGATGATGCCGACATAGACTTGCCGAATGTGTATACGAACGAGACTCTCTTTACGGAGAGTTGGGCTAGCTATTGGACGCCACTGCCAGAGAAGGAAGATAAGCCAATTTCTTCCACACCCATTCCATCTACCACGCCATATCCAATACCCCCTACAGCAGGACTCAGCACAGGAGCAAAAGCAGGAATTGGTCTGGGTGCAGTTGCCGTTATCTTTCTAGGTGCTGGGGTAGTTCTCCTCTTCCTTCGCCATCGCCGCCGCACACGGCAGAACACAATGATCATAAGTCCACCCGCTTATTCTGAAGAGCGCAAGACTTCGCCTGTCGAACTTGATCAACAAGTACCGGAAATGCATGCTGATAGAAACTATTGGACTTATGAGCTGGCAGCTCCTACGCCGCAACCAGAATCCACAACACCTAGACGTACAACGTATTCGGAAGACTTTGTCTACACAAGTCAGTCGGAACCGCCGCTGATACCCTCTTCACCCCCATTACGATCCAGATTTGGATGATAGGTTCGGGAGGTCTTTCTCGCCAACCAACATAACAATATTATTTGACGAACGAATGTATTTTTGTCTACGTAAAATGTGAATTTCCACATACCCAGACTATTTGTAAGAATAATGAAAAATCTCTTGACTATACATTTTTTCGATACATGCCAACATTGTTGTTGTTAGAATCGGTATTTGGCACCAAATACTCGCGATTCTTCAAGTTCTTTATGGGAATGACATTCGAAAAAGATTTATGGAAAAGCAAAAGTGCTACGCGGTTCGAAGTCTGGATTGTGGTTGTATGTATATTGCCCCGCCCACTCATTTTCACCTTCCTAATGAAGCCACTATTCAAGCTTGTTATTTAAAGCTGAGAGGCTGGGATGCCAACGGCTACGATGGGGATACCTGCGATAGTGGTGGTTGCAATACCAGTGGCTGCGATGGTGGTGGCAGCGGTATCAGCGGCGGGTAGGTATAGTACGAGGTACCTTTATGTATGTACGGGATCTGAAGCACCTGAAATCCGCATTGATGTTGATTAGAGGCCTGTTGCGAGGAAATAAAACGCGGGGGAAAACGCGGGAGTAGAGCTTGGGGAGAACGCGGGAGCATCTGGGTCGTGCGCCTTGGATGGGTTATCGTGCGCCATCCTGCTCCCCAGGCTGACTACAGTTTGATGCTTGGCATATCAATACAACTGATAAATTCTTCTTCAACCTTTGGGTTTGTGTAAGATGACTTCCTTACCTTGTAGAAAATGACTTTCGATCTCCAGTATATGCTGATGAGATCGTTTCTAACGATATGCATGGTGGTGTTATATACCCTTCATGATCGTTCATAACGATCGTGGACTTAGTCAATTCTCTTCCATAGGTCAATAATAATGGGTTCTCTTAAACGTTTTAATGCTTTTAGTGATATTTTTTAATTTTTTTCAATTACTCTTCTATATAAAATTTTTTAAGGTATATCGTTGATAATGTTATGGACATGGGCAGGTTAGCCAGATATATCGTTAATAACGTTATGAACATAAGCAGGTTCGCCCACAGAGTCGACAAGATCGTCCTGGACGAGGCGACGGATCCATATACTCGTCTCGCCTCATACCAGGATCATCGTTCCAGCCGATTAGATATCGTACGATCGTGAGAGACGAAAAATCCGTAGACCACCCGCCCCATTCACATTGAATTCTGCTTGCGCATATGCTACAAAGATCTTCCCTTCAAAATCAAACGGATCATATGATCTCTGAAGGACATTTCGGTATCAAAGACAATTTCATTTCGATTCATGTGCCATTAAAGGAACAAACTATTAAATTTTAGTGCCGAAGAAGCTTTCCTGGGATTTTCTCCCTGATCGACTACTTCGCTTGTTCTGAAGAAAGTTCTTGTATGAAATCACTCTGGAAATAGCCCGTGTTGTCGATGCACAAATTATCATATTTCTAAGAAATATATACAAGAAAAGAAACCTTTCTACCTAGTACGAACCCGGCACCAAACTGTTAGCCCAGTCCTCCACATTCTTGAACTGCGACTCAACATCATCTGGTATCCCGTTACCATTCGCATCTACCCACTTCATTCCTCCATCGATAGTTCCGGGGCCGTTCATCGGGGCGGCATTCTCATCGCTAATTAACTGCCCTAGCTTGCCATAACTCTTCAACTCAGCAATGAGCCGTTGATCAACCGAATCGCGGACTTTACTTGCACCCGCTCCCTTCTCTGCAAGTGCCAGCGCCTCGTTTGCCGACAAGATCTTTGCCGGAGCCGGGTAGGCGAATTTGGTTCCTTTGATGTTCATGCCGCCATAATTTTCCTTGGTCACATCCAGTTCCTTTCCGTTCAGCACGCCATCTTTGCCAGAATCGTAAAAGTTGCCTTGGACGAAGCCATCGAATAAATCGTTGCCTCTTGTGAAAGCCGGGACGCTTGTGCTGGGTCCACTGATGAAGTAATTCCCGACAATGTTTGCCTCGCTCCTTTCGCTCGAATCGCCAGCAATATACCCACCTCCTCCGCCCCAGTTGTACACGACATTGTTGGTGAAATCATTTGTGCCCTTGACTTTAGGGTTTCGCGTCTTGTTGTCAATGTACAAGTTACGGAATAGACTGATGCCATTACCGAGAGCGGTCTGCATCAAGCCGCCGCACGAATGCGTTTCCAGACCCTCGGCTATGATGCTGTTTTGTACGGTAATGTTTCCAACTTCAGAGCCTGAGATGGAGAAGGTCTCGTCGCGACCCCACGAGACAGACACATGATCGAAAATCATGTTATGTCCTTCTGCAATAGTGATGGCGTCTTTACCACTGCTTCCCTTTTTGCCCATGCGGATACGAATATAGCGTACAATGGCGTCGTCGGCGTTGCTGAAGCTCCAGCCATTTCCATAGACAGTTATTCCGCCACCGGGGGCGGTTTGCCCCAGGATGGTCACGCGTTTGGATACGACCATGCGGTCTGTAATGGTAATGAGGCCGCCGACCGAAAATACAACTATCCGGTCCGATTTCGCCACGGCGTCTCGTAGAGAGCCAGGCCCAGAATCGTTTAGATTTGTGACGACATAGACGGAGCCGCCTCGCCCACCAACAGCGTTACGGCCAAATCCTTCAGCACCGGGAAAAGCAAGAGCTGAAGCCGAAGTGGCTAACAGAGGAAGAAGAGCAAGAAAGTGCATGGTTGTAAATGCAAGGGTACTGAGAGCCTTGGGTTATCAGCCAAGAAAGAGATTTTGACAATGAGTGAATGACATGAACTGCTGGATGATGTGGAGCATGAAAAAGCCAATCCTTGTTTCTCTTCATGACCATGTTTCTGGGGGCGCAGTTCTCTGGCTCGGTTAACGGTAGTTAGCCGTGGTGGTCTGTTGATCCTTTAATTTACCCCACACTCACGCTACTAATCGACACGGATATTGGACTGCGCATTCCGCCAATCAACTCGACGGGCGATTCAGGTCGCAGAAACAATCTAAGGAACAACACGGGTAAAACATTCAAGAGATGCAGCATAGTAAGCACAATATCTGACATATTTTTGTAGCTGCATCTGCGAACTCGGCTTTTGAGACAAATGTGGTGTAGTTTGATTGTACTGCCGGGCCCTTCCCGAACTATGTATGTTTGAGTCAGATTTACCATCTCCGATAATCCTATTAGCATCGACAGGGTCATGGACAAAATCCACAGGCCCACAAACGTACCTGGGGTAACTTTCATACTGACCGCTTCCAGAAAACACCTCATTCCTCTCAGTGAGTATACTGAAACAGTGTCAAAACTTGCTCGCTCTCGATTAGTACTATTCAGTGCAAAAGAGCAACGAAATGAACATCTAGGACCCTGGTAATGTTGTAACAGAAACACTACTCAAGAGTTCGACGTAAGCGTCTGGGTAGTCTTCAATCCAGGACCTATCGGATACAACGCCAATTTCAATTACAAATTGGTTGTGACATGTTTTAGGCATGAGGTTGAGAATTCTCCGCATGCTGAATGGCAGTGATGTGATTGGAGGGTTGAAGTGACGCGTTAGATGCGCGTGTTGAAAAAAACCTTTAGCTATCGTGGATAAAGGCCGCTGTCTGACTCCGCAAATTCATCCAGTGATGCTATCCAAAGCCAACACCAGAGCTCGTGGGAAGAGATGTTGAGGATGCTGATGCTTATCTCCCTTTGGGCTGAACTGAGCTGGTTAGTCCACGCAAACTGCTATAGATTGCTCTCCTGGCGTCAGTCGTGTGGGTTTAAGCTCTCAGCCAAAATCATGTCTGCTTGCAGCAGAAGTCTCTCCCAGCAGCTTACGTAGCCTCTCGGGATATTGATTGGAGGCCAAAGGCCCGCTTAAGCCTTCCCGCTCGGTGGGTGTGTCTTCAGACTCGTGATTTTGGGTAGTATGAGTTCCTCCAAAGTCGCAACCGACAGACAACATATCCTCCTGACAACAACTCCAAACTATTGTTCCGTCGTCTTGCTTGACTTTCCTCCCTGGATGGTATATGCAGGGCTCAGCATCGCCTGAGAACAACTCATGGCATTTGGTGCAAGTCTTAGTTACATTTGGAGTCACTCCCTGGACTTCATCTGCTCGCTGAGTTGCAATAGCTACATTTGAGGTGATATTGGGAGAGGGTGAGCCTCCAACCAGGTGATGCAACGGCGTCCGTGTTGCAGTTGGACGCGCTGCTTTTTGAGAAGAAGGACCTGGACGACGTAACTCACTATCAGAGCTAGGGGTTGAAGGCCTGTATGGCTCGCGTTTTATTCGCGGCATTGAATGGGCGCTGTACGGATGTTGCCTGGTATAACTTCTCTGGTTCACTTGAGAGCTGTAACGACCAAAACTGGATGTGGTATTCATAGCTTCATACGCAGCATTTCGATCGATTTCCATTCGGTGTTGGTTAATCATGTTCCGTGCGGAGGTCGAGTAAGGTGCTAGGCCCCGTACAAGCGCGCCAGAGAATGCAGGCGAGATTTGACAAAGCTCCACCAATACTGTTTGCAATGCATACGGGCTGACGGTTGAAATTATCGACTGTATGTGACTAGGATTGATCGGCCGGGCTTGCTGTGGAGCTACAAGATTCCGGCTAGAAGTGGCTGATTGGCCAAAATCCATTATGGCACGTGATGGTTGGGCAGATGTGGTCTGGATGCGTGATGGCTGACCCGGGTCCGATTTAATTCGTGGAACATGATCAGACTCCTGCTTAACGCGTAATGTATTGTCGGTTGGTCTAAAGGATAGATGAGATTGCTGTGGAGGCGCGCGTATTTGTTCTCTTGTGGGTGACTGAGGCCAAGGCTCTGGCTCTGGTGAGGAAAGCGTGAGATCGATTGTATCAGTGTCCGGCCCGTTCCTTTGTGATTGCGGCATGGCTAAGTAGTAAGAATAGAGATGACCGAAAAAGGCCAATTACAACACGACGTGTTCAAAGTTGATGCGGTGGTTTGGCTGCCATGGCATGCTTCGATGGGAAGTTTCGGCGGTGACATGGCCGAAAGCCGGGGACTAGTGTCGCCTGATTGGGTTTAGCGCATCTCCCTGTATGAATCCACTACCAATGTACTAAGTTTTAAGTAGATTCGAGCACCAACAAGTACGAAGAGAAACCTAACCAGATTTAGTAGACTGACTACTGCATCAGGGTGTGCATGACTACAGATAATTAGATTGAAAAGGAGTTCTCTGCAAAGTGTACCAGTTTGATTCAAACTCAAAACTTGGGCTCACAGAGCAACACATACGTATGTGTACGTAGCGCTTTGTGTACGAGTTTAGCGCTCAAGTGCAGACGGCTAATCACAGCGTCGCATAACCGTCCTCGTCAAGGCACCTTGCTGGATGTCGTCCACTGTCTTAGTACAAGAGTCAATCACGTGAGAACGTCTAGCAAGTCTATTTCCACCGCCGCGTCACTTTGCGGTTATGCATCAAGCCACACGTGCAGCTAAGCGCTGTTTGGCACGCAACCCGAAATATGAGCCGGTTTTAACGTTAATAAAGTACATGCGGGGTGATCCGCAAAATCTCCGGGGAACAGCCCAGATGGTTCAAGATTTTCCATTGTGGAAAAACAATATCAGGGTGGCAAGGTGCACGATCCGTGCAACCTTGGACATACGCAGGTGACAACCAGGAACACGGGCCGGACCCCTGTTGTACGAGAGCACCGAAAGCCACATACTCACTGAAACGAATCAGCAGGTTATACCGATCGACCAATGGCCTCTGAAAGACTCCAGGGGGGAAAATCATACATATGCACGTCCAGATGCCTCTAGTTTCTGGGCACCTTCGCCTCTCCTTTCTTCCAATTCACAATGCGTGCAACTTTGGCATTCTTCCTTTCACTTGTCTCTGCCACTGCTGCAGCACCTGCCGAAGATGTGCTCCGCCGGGCAAGTTTTGACCGTACATCAGCCCCTGCCGGTTGTCTGACCGTAGGTGGAAACGGTAAATACAAAACTGTACAGTCTGCAGTCAACGCCCTCGACCAGTCCACCTCGAAGGCTCAGTGCATATTCATCGCCAAAGGCACCTACACCGAACAGGTCTACATCCAGCAACTCAATTCGCCTTTGACAATCTATGGCGAGACCAAAGACACTAGATCTTACAGTGGAAATACTGTAACCATCACCCAGCGCAAAAGTCAAGACGATACTCCTTCCAACGACGAGACGGCCACACTCCGTGCGCACACCCCCAATCTGAAGGTTTACAATATCAATCTTGTCAACACTCGTGGCCAGGGATCCCAAGCGCTTGCTGTGAGCGCATGGGCTGACAAGCAAGGCTACTACGGTTGCGCTTTCAAAGGCTACCAAGACACTGTGTTGGCCCAGCTCGGCAATCAAGTTTATGCGAAATCCTACATTGAGGGTTCCACTGATTTTATCTTTGGTCAGCAAGCTACGGCATGGTTTGATGGCTGTGATATCGGTGTTCTCAGCGCTCAAGTCGGTTGGATCACTGCCAGCGGTCGCGCAGCCGCCTCGAACCCGTCATACTATGTCATCAACAAGTCCAAGGTATCTCCTGCTAACGGGGCTACCGTCTCAGCCGGCACCTACTACCTTGGCCGCCCATGGGGAGACTACGCTCGTGTTGTGTTCCAGAACACCGACCTCAGCAACGTCGTCAATCCCCAGGGCTGGGCCATCTGGAACACCGGCGACCCAAGAACTGATCATGTGCTTTTTGGCGAATACCAAAACACTGGTGCTGGGGCCTCGGGTAAAAGATCATTTGGGCAAACTCTCAAAGCTGCTCTCAGCATTAGCGATATATTGGGAAGCAACTACAAGGACTGGGTTGACGTGTCGTACCTGTCATAGGTCAGTGCGGTAGAATAAAGCTTCGGTCGACGGTGCCTTGGCCAAGGGCGGGTACGTAAGCTTGTTTCGATTGATCATGGCATTTTGAAACTGGATGATACCCAGTCGTGTCGGTGCACGCTAGCCTCCTCAACAGTTCCACAGTCATGGTGTTACCTAATAAATTTAGAAAGGGCAAGAATGAATGTAAATCATAATTGACAATGAAATGATACTTGGGGTCTGCATAATCTGAGCATCTATGATGTGAGGTAGTCGCATGTCTGGTGAGGGCCTCGGATTAATCTGCAGCATGCATGCGCTCGCCTTTGGTTCGACGGAAACCCCGCTCTCGCGGAACCGAAATGGCCGGACATCTCAGGCAAGCGAAAGGGCTAGTTTCTTAGCGTTTTACCACTTGATCAACTNTAAACGTTGTTGTTGTGCTGATATTTAGCGTTCAAAGTGGCTACTTTTGGTTGTGGTTTGGTGTTGTCCGGCTATTTCAGTTCCGCCAGAGCCCCGGATCAAAAATAGCTTCCCATCAAAACAAAGCTACGCACAGTTTGCAACCAGTCACATTTGTTGTAACTCCAAAAAAAATAGTTTAAATAAAAAAGTACCAGAGCTTTGTGTATAGATTGGCAGACTAGAAAAAAAAGCTTGGATTATTCTAAAATACTAGTATACAGTGATAATTACTTGGCATCGCGCTGTTTTGGCAGGTGTAGTTTTCATCCAAGTAGTTGGACGGACTAGTAAGAGGCCCGACCCACTTGTGGGTCACGCGGCCAGTAACTTTTCGCTCCGTTCAAAGCATCAGCTCTCTTCAAAGGCAGTTTTGCACTCCAGCTTCGCGTGATATTGTCTCGCCGTACTTGGACGATATCTAACAAATAATGTCGTACGGCACGATACAAGACGTGCCTCCAGCGACCGGACGTGCTCAGGTGCGCTTTGCTCCGGACACATTACCAGCGCCTGTATCAACTCACGCTGATGAAGGCGCGAGCTCCGAACGGCAAGATGCACCATTATTAGAAAGAGTAGGGTCGGGATTCAAAAGCTTCTACGACAGAAACTTTGGTCTTTTTCTGGTCTTTCTTGCTCAAACATGCGGATCCGTCGTAAGTTCCATATCCTCATCTTCGGTCTTGGACCATGCCTTGATTAACCGGCCATAATGCAGATGAATATTGCGGCAAAGCTGCTGGCAAACGACCCTAGTATAAAGTTTCATGCGCTGCAAATCATCTTCATCCGCATGCTGTGTACGAGTATCATTTGCTCGATATACTCTTGGTACAAGGGCGTACCTGACTTTCCTTTTGGACAGAGAGGCATCCGATGGCTCTTGGTGCTACGTGGTGCAGCAGGTTTCTTCGGCTTGTTTGGATTATATTGTAAGTCGATATCGCACCCTTACTAGACCTCTCCAGCCAGCTATTCTTAGCAGAACGAACATGAAAATATAAAAAGAAAAAGAGAAATAAGAAAGATTAAACAACTGACTGCTTCTTCAGACTCTCTATCCTGGCTGGAAATCGCCGATGCCACCGTAATAACTTTCATCGTTCCTACCACGACAGCTATAGTTTGTTTCCTCTGGCTCCGCGAGCCCTTTACATGGAAGGAAGCGCTATGCAGCCTTATCGCCTTCACTGGAGTCCTCTTCGTGGCTCGTCCGCCCTGGCTATTCCCGCAGACTCACCGCCCTTCTTCCGATGACCCAAAAGTCCCAGTCCCCTCGGTCAGTCCCGAACAGCGCGCTCTTGCCATCCTGATCGCCATATTCGGTACACTAGGAGCTAGCACAGCCTATGCTACGATTCGTGTCATAGGAAAACGCGCGCATTCTCTTGTGTCGGTCAACTACTTTTCCGTCATTGCAACGCTGGCTTCATTCATCATTATCATGGTGCACCCAGATTTGCATTTCGTCTTTCCTACTACCATCCTGCAATGGGGCTTCATCGCCATCATCGGCGTGTTTGGATTTTTGCTACAGTTTTTGCTTACCGAGGGTTTGCAGAGGGAAAAGGGCGGCCGAGCTACGAATTTGACATATGTGCAACTAGTATTCGCCCTCATTGTGGAGAGACTTATCTGGGGCACTACGCCGCCTGTGGAGAGTCTGGTGGGCGCGGCGCTTATCATCGCGGCGGCGGTTGCAGTTAGTTTGCAGAAGCAGGCGAGCAAGGGAGAGGTCAAGGGGAAGCAGGTTGAGGATGAAGAGAGGAGATTATTGGAGAACCAGGCGGATTGAGGTGGTGAAGTCATTTCTAGAGTGTAAGGTTCGTGTAGCTTTTGCTAGAGTTGGTTGTGCATGTGTGAAAAGTAATGATTTGGCATTGGGAAGGCGTCCTTGTTCATGTCACTTGTAGATGGTTAGGGTTACGCAACTAGTTCCTGTACCTAATGCATTAGACACCACCTAAGCCTCGCCCTAAGAACCAACAAATACACCGCTTACGTGTAGACTTCTTGGTGAAATTTTCTTGGAATTTTGTCTTATTCAAAAGGAAATCTCCATAACTCAACTGGAGAAGTCGCCACTAACGGGCCTCGCTAGCGTCGTTGCCTTATCGCCTTATCGAAGCTGCGGGGAAGGCGCGACGCGACTGCACGTCCAACCTCATCATCAGCCCCTGAAGGTCCACGAATGCAATCAACGGCTTGACTGCGAGTATCTGCACAACAATAGATGGAATATCTGGGTGGATGTATAACAACAGAATAGGCAATATCGGTAAATAATAATGACGCGACCAAGCACGGTCACGCACAAGCCAACGTACCCCGCGAACTATGATAAGCGGCCGCCCGGGGCTTACGCGGGGATACGGCGACGCCGCTGCTCCCTGAAAGCACGTCGCCTGATTCTCTACTCTTCTTCGAGTCTTTTCTCTCATATCGTGCCTCTATCGATTCTGAAGTAGACTCCATCGTTTAGAATAACCATCTTCATTTCGCTCCATTCGATTAATTCGTCAGTCCATGTAACCATTGGCCGCTGTATCAGCCCTGCTCCGAGGAGCCGCTGGTGCCTTGCAGTGAAGCTTGGATTAATACAACGGTAACTATACTTCCAGTATGCAGCTATGTAAGCTAACATGTAAAACTACAGTAATCAGCCTACAATACTATCCATCTTAGTCGTCGCCAAATTCACCCTTTTATTCGACAATGACTTGGTGGCGTCGCGACTCGACCATCTCCCCTGTTCAGCGCTACGCGCAACGTCTACTCCGCTCCCACGAGACTGCTCTTCGTACCCGAGGCTTTTCTCGTACACCATCGCAGAATGCCCAACATGGAGATGACAAGGGCACCAATCGCCCATCGGGCATGTCCAATCTCGAGTGGGCACAATTACAACACTACCAGCGGTGGCGAAAGAAGCTGATGGAAGACCCATATCAGGCTCTCTTTGGTGCGAGCAATAGTATGCTGAGTGGGAAGGGATTAAAAGATTGGGAGTGGATTAGCAACTCGTTTCCCAAATGGATGCTGAGGGAGATGAACGACTATGGAGATGCCATGCCACAACCAAAAAGCGACAAAGACATGAACTCCTCAAAGAGAAGTGCGAAAAAAGAAGACATGGAACACGACGGGTCAGGTATCTCCAAAGAGAGGGAATCCCATTTCCCGCAGCCTTCCTTCAGGGCCGCACGAATCGGCGGCGACGATGCCCGTGCTATTGTCTCACCTTCGGACCTGAGAAGGCCGAATGAGCATCTTCACGTTACAGTCATTGGAGAAAGTATAAAAGCAAGAACCCAATCCAGTTCCAAGCCCCAGTCTTCCACTCCCTCACCAAATGCATCTAACACTTTCGAGTCATCGCCTCCGACACCACCGAAGAGCACACAGTCCTTCAGCGATTACATAGAAAAGTCAAATTCGGATGCCATAGGCAAGATTGAGAAAATGAGCAAGCCTACAACACCCCAAGGGGCTTTCATGGATGGGTTTCTTACGGAAAAGCCTTCACAAGATAATCCAAATGTCGACACTCCGAAGTTTTCTACTTGGAAGGAAACCGCGCTACAGAGACGTCTATTGCGAGACGATGTGATGAAGAAAGACGTAAACAATGAACCTTCGAGTATCCTGCCAGTCGTCAAAGAAACTGAAACTATGCCGCCGACTGCAACGATAGATGAGCACTCTACAGCGCCACAAGTGAAGCAAGCTGTACTTGTCACAGATGTGCACCAAGAACAAGAGCCTTCGCTCAACGAATACACGTATTCAACAAAAGACCACGCTAAACCCACTAGGTCAACATCAGAGACACTCAGTCAACTGCCTGAAGATGATATTGACTTCTTGAGTGCAGCTGAGATCCGCGCGTCCATGGGTACGAAAAAGAGTAAAATCCCGAGCGACGAACAAAGGAAAACAGAGCGAGAAAACCTAGAAAAGTCTTTTGCTGAAGCACACGCCGAGACAAACGAAGTGGACCCGATGATTGAGTCCAAGATCCTCAATGATCAATTTATCCGTCGCACAGAGCGTAAGATGCAGATGCCAGAAGAGCCAAAGGAAATCGATGAACCTCAGCCGACTGCAAAAACTGATCAGACATCGACGCTTGCAAACGAGGCCCAAATGGAGTCGAGTATTGAGCGCATGAGATCGTGGCTCGAGCAGGGCGGTGCCATATTCTCCAGCTATTTCTGGCAAGATCCGACAGAAGAAGCAGATGCAAAAAAGACTCGCTTGTTCTTCGACAAGGTGCTCGAGCGTATTCGCAAGGGACGCTCAACCATGAGACAAGTCATTGAGGATCTAGAGACAGATATTCCTGCGTCCAAAGCACTGTTAAAGCGCATGAAAGCCGACGAAGACGTCTTGGACTCTGCAATTCATGCTTTGCGACAACGCTCAGGTAGCGGCAAGATGCACTCGTTGACGCCCAAGAAGGTCCGAGCGATACAGTCCCTGCGTTTAAAGTATCAGGATACGGATAATGATCTGAATAAAGCTTACGCGGCTTTGGAAGAGATCAGCAAATCCGAAGCTGCCAAGAATCCCCCCTTGGCTTTCAAGCAACGGCTCGGCTTGTCAGCGAAGATCATCCAGAAAAACGCTCATCTTACACGATATTTGATATGGAGTCTGCAAGCTCGTCTCGAGGACCCGGAAATCGACCGAAGCATGCTAGTAAACTACAAGGCTGTGGCTAACAGCTTACTGACGCTGAGAGATACCCAAATGGCCCTGTCTCGATTGGTGGACCGTGCTATGTTGGTATACGGGGTAGTACCACAGACTATGGAGAAGGCCGAATTCATGGGCCAAACCATCCTGAATACGTCAAGTGAGCATGGGCAAGTGTCTCATGAGTTGTCTCCCAGTATGAACAAGATCGACAAAGCCCAACTTCGTGCTAGAATAGCGGCTGAGGAACACCTTGCCAACGAGGTTGATGCACAAAAGTCGGCAATGCGCGGGCTGTCAGATGATGGGTATGTGCGTGAGCCAAAGGCCATGGAGAAGAAGTCATTTGAGGAGCGTAGCCCGCTTGATCACAGCCTCTACAGGCCCTTCGGATCGGTGCTGGAGAGTTTGGGCAGTGAATTGCCTTCAAGAATCGAAGCATCCAAACCCGAGGAAGTGGACCAGAAGTACAACGATGTTGAGCTGGTTGCTGAAGTGCAGAAGGCGTACGAAGATACTTATGGGCCAATCACTGCTGAACACAAGCAGCTGAACACTGCTGATGAAGTAAAGCATGACCAAGAGAATGCTGTTGAGAAGTTTGAGATGTTGAAAGACGATCCTACGACCAGTGAGGAGACTCCTGAAGGGGCTAGTGCTGCTCAGGCACTTGAGTCTGAAGTCACCACTTCACAAACTGCAGAGAACGAGGCTACCAGCGTACAAGTTGAGGCCTCAGCCGAAACCTCTACTCCAACCCCTCAACTCACGCAAGCATCCCCAGAACCCGCCACTGAGACCTCTGCAACAGTGTCCTCATCTCCTGTCCCACCCGCTGACCTCCCAACCCACTACACCATCCTAATTCACAATGCCGAAACCAACACCCTCACCCACACAACCTCCACCTCGCCCCCACCCCGCGACCCCTCCCCCACAATCCCCCTTCACACCGCCCTCGCAACCCTGTCCTCTCCTTCGAAATTCATCCCCCACATAACCCCAGACTGGGAAATCGTAACCGCGAAACCAGACATGCTCATCTTGCGCAACACACTCGCCCCAGCCCCCAAACCCCTGCTACACACATCCGAGCACAGCGACGCCGCAGAAAACGCCATCCCAGATGAAGCTGACGTCCAGCGCGTGGGAACTGTAAATCCAATTGATGGTACTACCCGTCTTTCCCCAACGGGATATGTAGGACCTGAGGAGAATCGCGAGCAGCTAGAGAAGGAGTTTGAGGAGCGGAGGCGGGCGGCGGAGCGGGTGGTGCTGGGGTCAGGTGCTAATGGGGAGGAGAGTGCGAAGGGCTCAACGGCGGAGAATATGAAGAAGAAGGGACGCGGTGCGGGTGTTGTCAAGACGGCGATTTGGGCTGCGGCTGTTTGTTATGTTGTTGGTGTTTTGGGGGAGGTTGTTGCTTAGAGGACGAGGGAGTGGTCTTTTGCTATTCGTATCTTTTTTTGTAAATCTTCTTCTTTGCTTTATTCTTTTTCTATACATATATGTTTGACTTTCGGCTGTTGTATCTACGCGTCGTTGTTGGATCTACACCGCTCTGGCTTCTCTATTCGTTTTCTGGCTCAGGAGTCATTCTCATGTATAAATATCTCGTTTCGTAAATGAAAATACAAGTCATAGTATTGACTCAAAGGGGGTCTGAAGTGAATTTGAAGATTTGATGTTGGTCATTACAAGTCTATTCGTATTTGATACCCGATTGAAATCATAACGGCGTGTCTTGACACCTTACAGACCATTTGTTTGTTCCATGTCGCCCTCGCTAAAGAATCCTGATTCTATACGGGACGAGAGGAAAGGAAGAACAAAAAAAGATGAAAAGTCTATGGAAAAAGAAGGAAAAAGAAATGCAAACACGGTTAAAAGTGCGGCGTGTTCAACGCCATAACCATTAGCAGACCAGAAATCAGACCCGCAGAAGGCAAGGTGATGATCCATCCGGAGAAGATGAAACCAACTTGCTTCCAGTTGACAGCCTTCAGATCAAAGTTGCACAAGGCAACACCGATGGTAGCACCGGTCAGACACTGCGTGGTAGACACAGGAAGAGCGAGACGAGAAGCCAGGAGGACGGCAATAGCGGCGCCGAGTTCCATGGAGAAACCACGGGTAGGTGAGACTTGAGTGATCTTGTTGCCGAGGGCGCGCACGATGTGGTAGCCATAGAACCAGAAGCCGAGGCCGAGGAGCAGACCGGCGACGATGAGGATCCAGATGGGGGTGTCGGCTTCCTTGGTGACAACGCCGGTGGTGTAGGTGTTGTAGGAGCCTACCCAAGGACCGACTGCGTTGGCGACTGTGAGGGTGTGAGTTAGCAGGTGTTGATGAGTGTGGGAGACTGGGATAGGTTGTTAACTTACCATCGTTGGAACCGTGGGCAATGGACATCATCATGGCGGAGGCAACTTGGGCGTAGGTCCAGAGATGCTCAACGCGGTTGTCGTAGACAATTGCGCGGGCGTGGATGGCACCGAGATCTGAATGTAGTTGTTAGACATGGTCGAGTGGTAAGGAAAGGCAATGGAGCTTACCCTTCTGGGAAACGACGTCGCGAGTTACACCCTGGAGAAGAATGAACTTGGTCCAGTTGACGATCTTCTTGGGCGAGTAGAAAGGTAGGTGTTTGACAGGTTCCAACCAGCGCTCCTCTGGCTCGGGTGTGGCGGGGACAAGGTGGACGACAGGACCTTCGCTAGGGGGAAGGGGGTTGGAAAGACCACGGCCAGCACGCTCAACGTCAATGTTGTCACCATTAGCAGCAGTCTGGTTATCTGTAGAAGCAGGACGATCAGTTTCCTTTTCACCCTTCAGCTTGTCTTGGATAGCCAGGCTGTCTGCGGGAGCTGACTTGGCATAGTAGTCGGTAACAACCTGGTCTCCCTTGCCGGGGAAGTAGATAGGAGGGTTCTCGCGGTAAAGAAGAGGACCAAGGGGGATGTGCCAGATCCTCATTCTAGCGTCGCCCTTGACAAGACGGCGATGGAAGTAGGGAACGAAGAAGATGTACCCAATGGCGAGGACACCGGCGAAGACACCAAGGATGATACCACAGGCCATGCCGGGGCCCATTTCCTCGAGGCTCTTGCCGTTTGGAATCTCGTCAATGATGAACAGAGCGAGGATAGCAGCAGTAAAAGCAAGGTAGAATGGGATCAGGCGGAGGCCCCACTTGAGAGGGTCCTTTCTCTGGAGCACACCAAACTTGACAGTCAAGAACAGGGCGGCAGCGAAGGCGGCGGAGATGAATGGCGCAATGACCCACGAGGCAGCGATTTGGGAGATGGAGCCCTTCTTCCAGCCCCAGCTAAGAGGCGACTGAGCAGCAATACCAGCACCAGCAAGGGCACCGACGACGGTTTGCGTAGTGGAGACAGGCATACCCATCACGGTGGCGAAGGTGAGGAAGGCAGCAGAACCAACTTCGGCGCATCCCATGGCCAACATGAGTGTGGCGGGCGCAGGCTCGAAGGTTTCAAGGTCAAAGATACCTCCCTTGATGGTACCCGTGACACGTGCACCGAGTGCGACGGCACCGAAGAACTCGGTGAAGGAGGCGAGAATACCGGCCTGCCACATCTTCAGGGTGCGGGCAGCGACCGAGGTGGCGTACGAGTTGGCGACATCGTTGGCACCGTTGGAGGCTGACGAGAAGACAAAGGCAATGGTAGTGATGGCAAGGATCCAGTCGTACTTCTTCAAGGCGGGAGCCATGATTGGGCAAGGACGGCGAGCTGTTGCGCCTTTGGAACTGGAACAAGAGGAGTTGATCGGAATGAGGAATCTTTGGGTATATTGTGTGCAACGGATCTTATATAAATAATCTTGCTATGGGGTGAGTGGGAACCCAACTGCATCAAACCCATGCCAGGATGCCTCGATGTGAATGAAAAGGCCGCGGTAGGTGGGTATCAGACGGCGAGGCAAAGTGGATCGTTCCAGCCACGGCATCATGCTGTTTAGACCTGGCCATGGCCTATTGCCCAACAGGATGCATTTTTTCTGGGTCTCTAACAGGATTGCGGGCTGTGAACGATGGCAAAATGGCATGCCCTTGGCGTGTGTGGACTAGTAGTAGACCAGCCAAATGTAAAGAAGCTGGGCGGGAGCACGCGACTCACTTCCGCATCAGGGTCGCGTATAGTGGAGCCAGATCATGGCAGTGGGGGGCTAGGAATTGTGTGAACGAACAAGAGTTGGGGATATTAGCACGTTGTCCTCCACGTTGCGCTCGGGGCAGTTTGCCATGGATTCCGCCAAGTTTGCCCAGGAAATTTACCAGTCCGCCTTCGAAATTTCTGCTACCGCCAAGTCTCTCCCTCTACTCCTCGACTCCTCGACTCCTGTCCGCCCACCAATCAGAGTGCTCCCTTGAAGCATGCGCTCAATCTACAAGCTTACAATTCACGAGAAGAAGACAGTACTTGATGCTGCCATTCGACGCCACAGCAGAAACTCGTTGTTCTGCCTTGCCGTATATCCGTTAAGCAATCCAGCTCCGCCGTGGCAGTCTTGAGCGAACTTACCTTATGTACCACGACATGCCTTGTCTCTAAAACAAGCTGTGTCGCTTCCCTAGACATCAGTCTAATCTACAGGAGACGTTGCCATTTTCAGACCCACCCACACCACATGTATATCATAGTGCATGTCTGGACAGGCGCGTCTCCTACCACAGACATCAGCCCATGTGCTTCGGTCCAATATACGCCAAGTACTCTGCATCAGACAGCCCAGAATGAAGCATCTTGCAGCCTATTTGTCGTCACTTAGTTCTTTGAAACCCGCCATGTGCCAACCCCAGCAAGCACCGCTGTATACCTATAGCCTTGGTATTCTAATACTCGGCAAACTTTACATGTCGAGAAGCGACCCTAAAGTCTTACTCTACTGGACCAATATGTGCAATTGTGCGCATTTCTACGACTTTCTGCTCGTCAACCTAGGAATTCTCAAGTTCCTATCGTGCACCCCGGTCAGCTTGCCACTAGAGCCACTTGCCAACTCGTCCCTAGTATCCCGAGAACTTGGTGAAAAAAATACTAGTTTTTAATGATGACGATGACAATTGACTACCAACAATATCTCTTTCTGCCCCGTTCTCGCCTACAGAAGCTGCATATGCACAAATTCGAGACTCGCGGGATCTCCGCTGCACGTCTTCTGCCCAGGCTGCCGAGCCCTTATGACGCCACTCTTGGTATCCATGATCCACTCTTGGTCTACGTGCGACTGTAGATTCCTACCTTTTCTTCTCTGGTGAGTTGGGCATTCAAACAAGGCTCTTCCGTGCCATGCTAGTGTAGTATCAGACTTAGTTTTCCCTTGCGTGGTTGATACGAAAACCAGACGCCACGGTGCCCTCTAACCTACTACAACTGTAGACTTGCCACGCTCTCTAGATGAGTCACTTACAAGCTATCATATCAGAGAACAGTTTTGCGCAAGGACCAACAAAAGGGTAAAGTCACTACATGTCCACCATTGCACTGCCTGGAACAACGACATTTTTCCTCACCCGGCCTTATACTGCCTTTTTAGCACAACATCGACCGGCCTACGCTCCATACATACGATCTACTTCTCTTCCTCTCGTATCAACACGTCTGGTTAATTTACATCACACGCGCATCTACACCCTGCACCTTTTCACATAACAAAAGCAAAAGATCAAGCTTGAAACCGCCATTTTTCAGGATTCAAAACAATAGCATTATACGCACCTCGGCATATGAACTTTACCATATAATACAAATATACTGAGATAAAGTGTATAAGCCATCTAATCTCCTGCAACACACACACCCGTATCTCAACTACCTGAATCCCATGGGAAATGCTGCCTTACCTTAACTACATGTCACAAAAACGATTCTCGTTCCAACAAGGGAAAGAAGGATGAATCCCAACCGACATACACGTCAGAAGTTAACAATCCCTGTAGGAAGGCGACCCCATGGCCTAGTCTCCCACTGAGCAGTGGACACCCCACCAAGGAAAGCAACACAAGAGCATACAGTACAGAGGGGACGCTTTCTAGAAACTATTTAAGAGGGCTAAGTCTATCAACCCAATAGATTCCTAGCGATACGGGAAAGCTCTGACTATAATCTCAATACACCAAGCGTCTTCTATTGCAAAGAAGCCTTGGATGCGAAAATCCATACAAAATCTTACTTACAACTTCGTCTCCTCCCTAAGCCCTCACGAAGGACCCTCCACTCTCTCTTACTACTCATACTGACAACCTCCCCCCCCCTTAAACACGCAAACTAGGTTTCATTCACAAATGTACAGATTCACAGAGACGTTTTATTTTCTGCTCTCTAAAACCTCCACGCAGCTAGGAGAATGAGGAGGGACAAGGAATCTAAAAAACACAGTAAAAGACAAAACTTCGATAGCACTCCTTTTCAAATACCGGTCTTGGACGTTATCGAGAGTAGGGAAAGACCGTAAGCGTACGGTTGTTGGCTGTAGGAACATGGAAAAAAACATGGGTGGGTTGGAGGATGGAGAGGTGGTGGATGGGGATTCGCAAGGGGGTTTTTTTTTTATCAATGAGTCTGTTGTTTGTATGCGGGGGAAGAGGAAATTTACTTGTCGACCGAGTATCGTATGCGTGCTTTACGCCGTCTTTTTCGCCCCCATTGGGACTAGGCAAAACAGGGAAGCGGTAGTTACAGTCGTTTTTTTTTGGTCTTTTTACTGTGTGTATGTTTATGGGGATGGATGTTATGATAAAGAAAAAAAGGTTCAGTGCTGGAAGTTTAAGGAGCAAGAAGTTTCACGTAACTAAATATATTTTTTTCTCTTGGGTTTCTGGTGCCAAGGGCAAGTAAGTTCTCGTGAGCAGGTTTTAGAGGGGGGAAAAGAGGAAAACTGTGCGATTGTTGTGAGCGAAAGGCTTTTGGAGTGAGCAGACTTTGTTAGGATAGTTAAGCAAGGTGAAGACGTAATAAGTTTGACAAGCGCTAGTAGTAGGACGGCCGAATTTGCCTGACTTCATAATTCCCCCATGCTATTTCTTCAACTCCACTAGCAATTCAAACAAGGCGCAAAGTTGTAAAAGAGTGGGATGTATGGTTATTCGATTTGTTGCTTAGATAGCCAAAAGGCCGAAATAAATACAAGGCGTTCAACTTTTTCTCTCTCTTTCTTCAAGTCATTCCAAGTGTGTATGTCTTCCACGATGAACGCAAGACATACCCAAAAAAAAAGAGAAACAACGTCGCCTCGCATAGTCCGAAGACAGCCTTTTCTCCTCATCCCAAAATCCTAAAATACATTAGAGGAATCGAAGCAATGACAACAAAGGAAAAATAGCTGCATGCAGCGGTGACGGTGACGGTGATGATGGTGAGCCCTTCAAGCTCGATGACAGTGGTGGCAATCTAATATGACTATGCAATAAACACAAAACGAAAAAAAGTCTCTATAATAGTTCTCATAGCGTGGCTTTTCCCTTCCGAAAAACAAGAAAAGAAAAGCACACCAGTGGGGGTAGGTGGAGGGGGTATCAAAGAAAAAGAAAAAAAAGAATCAAAAGCCAAAAAGACTCTCTCGCTCTTCTATATGCTCGCTGTTGGACACAAAGGAAAGGGGAAAAAGCGTATAGGCAAGAAAAGATTGCGTAGGGGCGTGAGTCGTATATAAGGAATATCGTAACATGTCCTTTTCTGTTTTTGTTTTTTCTTCTTCTAATTCTGCGTCGCATACATGTGCAATTGGTCATGCATTTGGGGTGTCAAATGGCGAAATGATTGTTGCTGATGATGCATGAGATGCTGTTGATGTTGGAGATGTTGCATTTGGTGAAGAGACGGTTGCTGCTGCTGCTGCTGTTGTTGTTGTTGCTGCGGCTCGGGTGTGTGCCGCATGCCCATTACTGCAACAGGATAATCTGCGTTCAAGTCCGGCATGGTTTGGCTCATACTCGATGACGGCCTGGAATGAGTGGAACTACTCCTAGATGCGCCGAGTCGATTACCAATCTTATGAAGGGGTTTCGTGATCAGCTGACCAAAAGACGGGCGGTCGTAATACTGTGATTCTTCGAATTGAGGTGCACCGCCGAAATAATTCGGATACAGTGCCTCTAATGGGTTAGGGGCAGTCTTGGCCTGATCAATGTACTCATTAGGGTACATTTGAGCTTGCTGAGTCTGATCCATGATTGGGGTGTGTGTATTTGGTGTGTGCATTGCGGCCGTAGTCATAGCCGGTGGGAGATCGGGTATAGCCGGTTGCGCTACATCAAGGTAATCTCCAGGATCCACATCCATGTAGCTGATACGGTGGTTTGTGTTGTCGCGAGCAGGCGACTGTGGCTCCATAAATGGCGAAGATGCGCAATCGTAACTAGGCATGTGCGATAAGGAGTTGATGGCGCGGACCAATGCCGCATTTACAGTTGCAAGGCGAGCCCGTGCAACGTGCGGATCAGAGTTTCCAATGAGAACATGCATTCGCTGTTCGCGTGACAACTTTTCGACATTTGGTACAGAGTCCCTGGATGGCGTGACAAAACCTGGGGGTAGCTGTTGGTCGACGGGATCTAGTTGCATATCAGAACGTAGGCTCAAGGCCGTGATGAGAACCTCTTCTCGGCTTGGTCGGAGATCACAGCATTGAAGCTTTTGTCGAAGGATCCGCGTGTTGTCAGGACACCAGCTGATCTGTGAGCGGCTCTCTCGGAGCCTTTCGTCCAAACAGGAGATCAATTCCTTCCATGTGTCGTATAGAGCTTCTTGCCGAATCAAGTTCCGAATGACATTCGAGTACTTCCACTGGTCTATTGTCGCGCCGTTCTTCATATGTTTTGCCACATGGTCGCATCGCTCGTCCCAACCGATGCTAACCTCTTTGCACTTGTCAAAACCGCAGCCGAATACCCGTCGTGGGAGGAGGGTGATGCCAATGTCGGTCAACGACGGCAAGGGTCGGCCGGTGTGATAGCGCTGATGGTGCTTGATAAAGTCCTTTTGCCGATCGAAAATACGGTTGCAGCCGTTGACAATGCACGGCCAATCTTCGCCCGTTTCATGCATTCTCATTTCGTGCTTCTTCCAATCGGACTTGGCCTTGAAAGTCTTTTGGTTCTTTTGCTCAGCACAATAGGTGCAGAACATGTAGGATTCGCCCGTTTGGCTTTGCGACTTGTCATCGTCGGCAAACAAGACAGGAGAGGCGACACTGAGAGTATCTGTCGGTGTGCTGCTTGGCTCGATTTTGAGGTCGAGCGGACTGTCCGTGTCCGAAGACAGGGCAGCAGGCACTGGGCGGGTGGGGTCTAATCCAACTGGATACGAGCGTGGCTCTGGTCGCTTTTGCTGGGAACGCGACGAAGATGACGAGGCCATGGGAGAGCGCCTGTTGCTGCTGCTGCTCGACGAGGAAAAAGTCGACGTCATTGATAGGCGGGAGCGCCATGATGAGCCTGATGAAGTGGTGGCGGATGAACTGACGGTGCTGGTGGACATGAAGGATGAGGCAGTTGAATTGCGGCCTGAACTCGGTGAGCGCATGGACAGGAGGAGCCAGCCAAAGGAACAAGATTACATACGTGACTCTAGGGCCTGTGAAAACATTCGCTGAATCAAATGCGGAGGATGCCTGGCGAGCAGGGCCTCGATGTGTCGCATGGATTCTTCTGGTATTTCGACATTGTCGTCCATGGTTGCGGTGGAGCCGCTTGCTCGTGGGGGAGAATGGGCCTCGCGAGCTATTGCAACATCCCAGTGGACCCCGCGCAGCCTCGAAACTCCAGGCGACGACTGTGGAAGCGCAGTCAATGAAGGTGTATGAGGGGTGGGGAAGGTGTCGAGGCGTTTGGGGGGAGAGTGGCAGCCAAGGAATGGAGAGTCGTGTATCCGAGCAGGCATCCGCTACTGTTGGTGCGACAAGTTGATATACGGGCGGGATCACGTCGCCCAAGATTGCAGCGGGGAGGGCGGAAACAGCACTCTTCTAGAAGACGTATGGAAGGATTGTAGAAGCAGCTAAACGGGGGTTGCTCACTAGGGCGCTCGTGCGCAATGCCGACAAGACCACGCACCCTGGTTTTGGCCTCAAAGCTGGGGCAAGGCTGAGGGTGCTGCAGGGTATACCAGTGTAGCGTGTTTGAATGTGGCGCGACGCGGTGCGGCTGGTCGAAGGGGCCAGGACAAGGACGAGACGAGGGCAAAAGGGCAGCGTCGCGATGGACAGAGTGGCAGAGAGCACTGGTGCGGCCAAATATGTATCTGGACATGGACTTGAGAGCTGGCGTCGACGGCTGGGCGATGGTGTGTGTGGCAGGGCGTATAGGTTGTGCAGTTGAGGGCCGCACGCACCCGTGGACCGTCACAAAACGGGATGGTAAGGGGCTCGCAGTGCGGTACCTGGATGACGCGCCGCTTAATGGGTTGCCCAAACGGGCGTGGTGCTGCCATTCTGCCATGGGGGCCCTATACTGCACCCACAAGGGCCCTGATGCCTATTTGCTTGCACGCGCCCACGGTCGGCACGCCGCCGCCGCTGCCCACACCGGCCGGCTCACCAGCGCGCGAGCGAGTGAGAGCTCGTCCTGCCACGTTGTGCACGAACGGGTGGAGGTGTCCTTGCTGAGTTCGCCCAAGTGTACCAGGAGTAAGTAAGTCCGGATGGTCCTTTGTGTCCTCGCCCACAACGCCCTCTACTTACCCACCCAGGCCCACAGCACAGCAAAAAAAGCTCGACTGCCATGCATTCCCCCACTCCCCCCACCACTGACTGACTGACCAGCAACCAAGACAGCCCTCGGTGGCGGAGGCATCGGGCGGTGCTGACGGCACGACTTCGCTGCTCCGTGCACGTCTTGCGCCTGCGATGGGACCTAGTAGGTGTAGTGGCAGTGACAGCGACAGCCAGGCCAGTGGAATCATGATGGTGTACTACCCTGCCTGCCGTCGAGGATGTGGTTAGTTGCTTAGGGCCTGTTCGGTTGCGCGGTTGCGGTCCTTTGTCGCTAGCTGCAGGTCCTGTCATGGCATGTCCCAGCCCATCGCGCCCACGCATATGGGCGCATCAACGGAGGGAAGAGAGCGCGATGCTGTAGGACTACGCCACAAGGCGGGTTGGGGTCCATGGCTGCTCCAACACGGCGGAACCTTTGAACCTGAAGCCATTTGCAGAGCTAATGTCCAGCGCTGGGGGTGGGTGGAGTGAGCAGTGGACAATGCGCGACTGCCAGTGGACGCGGACAGATGCAGACGCGCAGAGCGCGCGTGGGGAGGGGACTGGGCTTGTGCTCGTTGTCACGTGATCTGGCGCGCCTTCTCCAAGCATGACTCCGACTCTGACGGCGTCTTCCAGCTACGTTTGTGGGCGTGCAAACCCCATTCTTCCCCCCCACCACGGTCTCCCGGTCTCTCCAATTCTCCAACCCTTGTAGCCTCGTACCCGTTGGTGTCTGTTCTGCATCCAGACCCTTTTCTCTACTAAAAACAGATCTTTGCGCTACTGCCCGAGAATATCTCTCTCCATCCGTGCGCCGCAAGCCGTCGTTGGCCAGTACGCGAACGGCGCAGGTCAGTCAGTGACCATACCAAGGCCGTCCCTACTCAGCGTCTCGAGTGACAACTGGCTGCCACGAGAGATGGGAGACCCTGAACATGGCCCTGTCAAGCAAACATGCGACTTTGACTACACTACAGTGCCCACGCATGCAGTCGCCAGAACCAGCAGGTAGAGCATGTACGTAAAGCAAGTAAGCATCAGACCCGACAGCAGAGAAACTTGCGGCGACTATGCCGTAGCCGGCAGCACATGACCGCTGTCACGAATGCCGCAAGGCATCCATGGCCAATAGACAAGGTTCCGTCAGAATACACTTCTGCTATTTCCAGCATCCAATCATGTCTGTGTAACCAGCAATCGCAAGCGCAGCGGCAGTTGCATAGCAAGAACAGCCGCCCTCGACTGGCAACAGCCCCATACCAACCCAAAAAACGGTAGCCGGGGCCTCTCCGCCCACCGGTCTTGCCCTTTTCGCCAACCCGCACTCGCTCCAACACGCTAACGTCATTTTTTCGATCAACAGAATAGCCTTTGGAGCTTGGACGCGATCCACACTCGCCTATGTCCGCGCCGCACTCAATCGATTGCGACGGACACGGCAGAGTACACATGTGCCTGTTATTTAACCGTGAAGCCCTGCCCGTGAAACCATTAGGCACGTGTCGCCCGGGCTGGTGTTGTCCGACTGCCCACGGAGTTATCACGGAGCTGGTACCGAAGCCGGCTCGAGCCATTCCCACTAGGACTGCTTTACGCCGACCCAAACCTCGAAAGGGGTACATGTCATGGCCGGAGCGGACGCTGCAATAAATGTTGTTATAGGCATATTTGCTGCTGACACGATTACAAGGATAGCTAGGGTCTTGTAAGCCACGAGTGACAGACTCTATCTTAAAGAACCTAAACAGGCCATCTGCAACTAGATTGCTCCGCCTTGGCTCGAGAAGCTTCCTTGTTGGTAGTATATTGATAAAGCTTGCTTACCAAAATGTCTGTGCAAGTTCCACAAACTGAAAACATCTTCTCGTGCTGGATTACTTTCCCTTCATCATCTCGTCAGCGGAGATTCAGCAGAATGCAACAATGTCAAAGTCCCCTGTTCACTTTCTCTTCTATTTAATAAAAACCCTACTGTTTACAGATATATTTAAAGAAGAATCGAATGTATACAACAAACAAGAATTTTTTTCTCCAATCATCCAACACCCACTACTAATTAACAAACTTGCCATCACAGTCAAAATCCCCCTTTGTCCTGAAATTGCATGAACTGTTCACTCCACCCCCAGAAATATGCACATTGTTAAACGTAAAGTTACTGCAACTTCCCTCTCCGCAGAGGATATAGTAGTTGCGTGCCTTGGCCGTCGCCGTACCCGAGATATTCTGCATGACGATATTCTGGATCTTGACGCCATTCGTCGGGTTCCCCGTTGGGCCACCGTTCAGATAGTCCTGCTGGATATCAATGCCATAAATAGTGATATTCGCCAGCGTGATATTCTGGAACAGAATATTCGAAATGGAACCCGTCGTGTTTGCATTTGACTTGATCCTTGCTCCGTTCTCTGCGTTGAGAACAAACGAGTTTGTAAACGAGACGTTGTTGACAATGTTGTCTGCGTTTTTTAGTCAGTCACGTGCTTGTGTTATTAATTTCTCTGGTGCCTTGTCTCCTTATGAAGAAGAAGATAAGAAGAAAAATAAATACTCACTCGACTTGCCGCCTACCGACCCAATCGAAAGTCCATGACTCCCATTGCACCACATGTTATCCACGATAATCCCATCTCCACTCGTTACCGCAACACAATCATCCTGATTCGCCACCACACTATCCCGAATCCGCACCCCTTTACTACTCGACACGTCAAACCCGTCGCTATTATGCGCAGCCGGCAACCCGTTTGATATATTATTCGGCGCATACCCGTCTGCATTATCCAGGCGAATCCTGAACACATCCAAGTCGTTTGAATTCGTAATGGAAAAGCAGTGCACGGGGTAGTTCTTGATGTACATGTCGTGGATGGTAGAGCAGCCCGTCACGTTTGTGACTTCGATGAAGTGGTTGGGCTTGATGCGCCCGCCTGTGTTGCTGCCGATGCCGTCCCACCAGGCGGGGCCGTTGCCGTCGAGCACCGCAGAGGGCTCCGCCGTGATTTCAATGTCGGTGCCGCTGACGATGATGAAAGGGTAGTTGGCTGCCGCGTACTCCCAGAACGTGGTTCCGGCAAAGGTGACTTTGCTGCCGCGTTGCAGCTTGGAGAGGTTGATGGTGCCGTTGCCTGGGACGCGGATGTTGTTGAGGGTGATGGACGTGCAGGCGGCTACTGCGGCGGGGATTTGCGTGTATTGGGTTACATTGCATATGGGGTTGGCGGGTGGTGATGGTGGTGATGGTGGTGATGGTGGTGATGGTGGTGATGGTGGTGATGGTGGTGGTGATGGTGGTGGTGGTGGTGGTGGCGGGTTGCTTGGGTACTTTGGGGCGACCGCAGTGACTTGAGTGGCGCTGAGGAGAGCGAGGAGGGTGGAAAGGTCTGTTTTTAGGGGTATGTTGTTAGATACGAAAGTTTATACTATATACAACGCGGGCCGTGATGGCGAAGGAAGAGTATCTTACTATTGCCCAACATGACTACTGTTAGTCTTTTTAGTACCTAACAAAAAAATTAGAAAATATAATAGGCGCTGATGAGCAAAAAATAAAATGAGGGACCTGGCCCAACCTATCTATATACCCTCCACCAGCGCCCCCACACCGAAATATCTCGTACCGGTAATGCGCAAAGCGGGTCTTGCTCGCCATGCACAATTCTCCGTGCTGCCAAATTTATCTTTACATACCTTACTCCGTCAATATTTATCGACCAACCCGCAATAAGTAAACGTCACCCCCATGAGCAGAGCTCGTCGACTAGTCGTAAGTTTTACTGAATCCTTCGTATCTTACACTTTTAAAGTAAACAAGAGGGGAAATATGCCTCTCTCTTCTTCTGACTATCGTCCTGTTACTCTTATTGTAAGAAGAAAGGAAAAGAAGAAGAACAACAAAAAGGTAAAAGAGGAGGGAAGGAGATACTGTGGTCAAGTGCAGAACTCTTGTGCATAAGCACTAGCAAGGGGATAACGCAGTCTATGGTAAATTACAGAACTATACTGTATAGCGTAGGAGCTAGACTACAAGCGCAGTATTTTCATCTATCAAATGATCCGAAGAATAGCCGGATCATCATTCTGGCGTCTCTACTATATAAAACTTACGTCCTTGACCGCAGTAAGAGAGGAGAGAGAAAGGAGGGGAAAAAAGAGTAAATCGCAGCGTTAGATAGTATAAGGTATACCAGTAGTAATAATAACTATACTTAGTAAGATAGAAAGAGTAGCGCTTATGGGGGTGACGTCTACTTATTGTAGGGGCGGTTAATAACTATTTTGCTCCACCTTTATTACAGTAAAATTCATGCCCTTCAATTGTTAAATGAACAACTCGTGTATCTCTTTTTTTCGTCCCGTTTGGCCCACAAAATTCTGCAACAGGTATATGCACATGCAACAAGCATGCCCAAGCATCGCAAGCGAAGCTTAAACCAAGCTGCGGAGGGAGGGGCCCCCACTTTCCACGCCCGCGTTGGCGAAGCTAGTACTAGAGAAAATGAATCGCTGACGGGCATGTTTCAACATTCTTACATGTATTCCAGTGAAAAAATAACCCAGAAAATGTTTCAAAATCTACTGTGTAGATGTCACTGACGGGTATCACGCCATCTCACTCAACCTCCTTGACATGAAGCCAAGTACAAACTTTCTTTTCTTTCTCTTTCTCTCTCTGTCTCCTCGGCGGTACTCGCCCCAGATCTCGCACCCGTGCCCTCTGCCGTGTAATTTAAACCAAAGCCCCCGACAACATGCAAATCTCGCTCTCTTTGCTGCATTTCTGTCTAGCTTGCAATTACCCAAAAACCTACATATGCAAATGCACGATGCACTAAGAAAGCACATACTACTTACCTTCAGCGCAACAAAATATCGTGCGGAGATTTTGGCTCGAGAGATAGGTTTGGTGATGCGTCCCCCCGCCCCGCCCCCCCAAAAAAAATAACAATACCATAAGTAATAGGAATGAAGCTGCCATCTCAGTACGTAGTATCTTACAACAAACGCAAGTACGATGGTTAAAAAACATAACTAATTTCCTCCTTGCCCTCTCTTTCCACTCCAAAGTTCCTCCATCTCCCCTCTTCACCTAGACTAATTACGCACACAGCTTGCTCACGGAAAATCTCCTTTCCGTCCATACACCCCCCCCCACACACGCGCGCGCGCCCCCCCTCCTTAGCTTGCCCTCGCACGGCAAGGGGACCGGGGTGGTTAGCATACTGTTATATCCGGAGAAAAGTAAAGAGGCGCAGTGCAGTGGCCGTTGCAAGAGGAAACTACATATGTAAGTAGTAGATACTAGTTATATTAAGCCACTAAACCCCCTCCCCCCCAACATTACTAGTAGCAAACGTCTTGGTTTGGGATGCGATCAACGCACGGGCCATGTATACACGGCAGGGAGAGTGGTGGTGATGATGACGATACGAGAAGAAGGAACAGTGCGAAGAGGGGGAGATGCAGGACGGGATGTGGGGATGCGGGTAAGCTCTACCCACCCCCCTTTCATTTGGTTTGCAGAACATGGGGGGAGGGAGGGAAAGTAGTAGTAAAAGGGAGGAAAAAGAGAGATTTGGGGATTTTGTGGGAAGTCGAGGGCAAGGGAGATGGTGTGGTGGTGGGGTCGCCCGTTGTTTAGAGTTTGGGAATGGGAGTTTTAAGGGTTGGGTTAGGGTTGTTAAGTTCTGCGTGTAGGATATGCATAGAATGTTTATGTCGATGAAGGAATGAAAAAAAAAAGTATGGAAAAAAATAAAATTATCAACAGTCTCATCTTTTTTTTCCCTTTACGTTGATGGATGTGTTTGAATGCTATGCATTAATTGGGAACGGTGAAGCGACTTCAAGTTCGAAAAAAAAAGAACTCCCATTTTTCAGCAAACTTAGATAAGACATCACAAAAGTTGCACATTAATGAATGAACCAAGCAACCCCCCCATCTAAATTATCCCCATGGAATCACTCAGTAGTCCAACACCTCTATAGATTCCCTCAGCTTTTAGTACCATCTTCACAATCTCTCTATTTTTTTTTCAATGCGCCTCCCCACCCTCAACCTTCTTCTCCGCCCCATGCCTAAAATCCGGAGTACTAGGCCGTGACCGCTCACCGCCAAAGAATGCAATATTCTCTCTGAGAGCAATATACTCGCTATCGGCATACCCCAACGCCTCTCTAATCTGTGTAGAATGCAATCCCTTGATCCTCCGAATCTCTGTAGCCGAATAATTTACAACGGCCCGCCCGATCTCAAACGGCGCGGGATTATGCAACTCAAAAGCAGGGGGTTGGTGTGGAGACGATAGCTGATGAATATGAGATGAAGATGCAGAAGGGGTGAGTGGGTGTCGGATAGGAATGGGAGCGTGGACAGCGTGGGCTGCTGCACCGGGGGTAGTGGGAATTTGGCTTGGTGAAGCGGGAGTTTGGGACTGGGCGGATTTGGAGGAAGAGGAAGAGAGACGCTTTACGACGACGATGCGGACGGCTTCTTGTTGGGCAAAGTGACCGTCTACGTCTACGATTCCCGCAGGGAGGAGCCCGGCTTTGTCGCTCAAAGCGGCCCAGGCGCCTTGGTCGATGTAGATGGTGCCGTGAGGGGCTAGGCCGTGGAGGATCCAGAAGTAGCGGTCGCGTATGGGGTTGGATATGGGGAGGAAGCGGGTATGCAAGGGACAAGGGTCTTCGGTTTGTGGGGATGACGCTCGCGTTAATTGTTGCTGTCCTAATGATACTGTCGAGGCCGACAGATCTTGGCTTGATTCTTGAGATGGTGTGTGGGTGCCGTCTTCTTGGAAATTGGTGACCGAGTTCCGACTTGACATTCTCGACTTCCTGTGCTTCTCCGCATGGGCAATAATACTTGAGATGTTACCTGGCTTGCTACTCTTGGTGATAACCGTAGTAACACCCGCGCTGGTCGCCAGTCGTGCTGCTACAATCTTGGTGCTCATGCCTCCTGTGCCGAGCGAACTTCCTGCAGAACTGACATCGGCCGCCAGCTCAGCAATATCCTCGACCACGGGGATGGACTTTGCATCCGGATTCGAACGCGGGTTCTTGTCATACAGGCAATCTACGTCCGTCATGAGGAAGAGGTAGTCCGCCTGCACCATGCCCGCCGTAATGGCACTCAGTGTGTCATTGTCGCCGAACTTGATTTCCGTAACCGCCAGTGTATCGTTCTCATTGACAATGGGAATGACGCCCATGCTGAGCAGCTCAATAAAGGTATTTTGGGCATTCTGATACTGCGTGCGATCTGCAATGTCGTTCCTCGTCAATAGCACCTGCGCAATGGGCTGCTCCAGATTGCCAAAGAGCTGATCCCATAGGGACATCAGTCTACTCTGTCCAATGGCAGCAAGTGCCTGTACTTGTGGAAGATGTTTGGGGCGGCGTGCGAGGTTCATGCGCCGTAGACCCACGCCAATGGCGCCCGACGAGACAATGACGACGTGGTGGCCGGCAGCACGCAGACTGCATGCTGTCTCGACTATGAGAGAGAGGATAGAGAGGAGGGGCTGGTGGGTCTTCTCGTCGACTATTGAGGAAGTGCCTGGGTGTGTTGGTTAGGTGCCCTCTTCTTTCTGTTGTGAAATCTGTACAATGATGTATTTACCAAGCTTGATGACGACGGTGAGTTGGCCAGGATGCTTGCGCATGTGGACAGCCATTGCAGCGGTGGAAGCAGGACGGTCGACAGGGACAGCGCAGTTCTTTGAATAAGCCACCTGGAGTAGAAGTAAGCACGCTCTTTATACTTTATATTCGCGCGCAACACATGACTGGAACGAGCCCAAACTTCCCTGTGCCTTGCAGCACTACCGATCTTCGGGCTGCCCCTGCGCGCGGCGACATCTGCCCTCCGATTGGCTCCCCGCGCATCCCACCACCTCATCTCCACCTAAACTTTTCGCGGCCGGGTCAATTCACCAGCGAGCATACCCATCCCACCAGCTACAAACATGTCCAAACCCGAAACATCGCCCGATGGCGCCTCCATCTCCGCTATGGCCCAGCCGCCGCCCGCCAAAATCGACCCTGTATACTACACCTGGTCGAGCGCCTTCAACATTCTGCTCGGCCGCATGACAGGCCAGCGCGACATTGCCCTCGAAAAAAACTACTTTGGCGAAATGGACACGATCAAAGCCGACTCCATCTGCCGACGCTGCGAGTCCAACAAAGAATACCTACTACAATATAGCCCCGTCATCCGCTTCATGCAAGATGAGGTGTACAAGCTAGGCGGCGACCTAAACAAAGACAACATTCTGTGTCGCATATGTACGAATGAGCAGAGCGGCGGGTTCTCGCTTGAACATGGCATTTTGCTGTGCGCCAACAAGTTTCGCAATCGTGGACATCAGGAGGACACGATGGCCCATGAGATGGTTCATGCGTGGGACCATCTAAAGTTCAAGGTTGAGCCGGATAACCTCAGACATCAGGCTTGCTTGGAAATCAGGGCTTCGACGCTATCCGGAGAGTGCAGGTTTGCCCGCGAATTCTTCACGAGGAACCAATGGAGGATTACCGAGCAGTTGCAAGCTTGTGTGAGGAGAAGGGCTACGCTGAGTATGCTGGCCAGACCAGGCATCAGGGACCAGGAACATGCAGGCAAGGTGGTGAATGAAGTCTGGGAAAGCTGTTTCCGGGATACCAGGCCGTTTGATGAAATCTACCGGTAGGTGGAATGTGGGCACGAATGTACGATAATATGTATTGGGAACCGTTGTTGTAAATATGCATAGCGAATGGCGTTTGGCAGACATGTCTGGGAAGCACGGCAATCTTCGCTCAAGATGATGTGATAAAATTGAACATGAAATTCTGGTCTTGCATTCAATGATTAATGGAAGCTGATATGCACAAGGTAAACGCCGATGAGATAAAGGAAGGCTAGCAAAAAACTCCAAGCAATGCGATCAGATCATATGGTTCCAGTGACTTCCGTGGGTTGCGCCTGTTCGCCGTCATAGCAGTTAAACGTAAAATAAATGGCACTGGGTCTTGGCTCAGAAGCTCTCCTCAGAGTCATCCGAACTGCTGCGGGACTTGCCTCCAGACGTACGCTCATATGCTCTGGGACTGCCCTTGCAATGCTTGACAATCCAGGGATGTCTCTCAACATCCTCCAGGGCAATACGCTTCTCAGGATCCAGTACCAGCAATCGCTTAATTAGATCCCGTGCTTCTGAGCTGACAAAGCTGGGCACTGTGTACTCTCCCCTCGCAATCTTGCGCTGTGTCATGACTTGTGTGTCCTCAAAAGGCGCCTCACCGACCAAGAATTCGTATGTCAGGACACCCAAGCTCCAAAGGTCGACCTTCTCAGTGTAGTAGTTGTCCTTGCCGCCGCCGCGAAGCATCTCTGGGGGAAGGTAGTCAAGCGTTCCGCACATGGTGTTGCGGCGGTTGTTGGGGGCGTGGACCGACCAACCAAAGTCCGAAATCTTGATCTCGCCGTGGATGCCAACGAGAATGTTCTCGGGCTTGATGTCGCGGTGCATGACATGCTTCTTGTGGAGATACTTGAGGGCGGCGGCCATCTGGGCAACGTACTGGGCAGCCTTCCATTCCGGGAAGCGCTGTTCCTTGCGCAGATGCTTGTACAGCTCTCCCTTTCCTGCAAACTCGAGGATGAGGAAGATGCGCTTGGCGTCGTGGAAATGACCAAACAGCTTGAGGATATTGGGATGGGTGAGGTGAGACTGGATCTCAATCTCTCGCCTAACCTGCTTCTCGACCTTGCCCTGTTGGAGCTCGGACTTGTGCAAGACTTTGAGGGCGCAAACAAAGCCGGAGGCACGCTCCTTGGCGAGGTATACGCGACCGAACTTGCCCTTTCCAAGCGGCTTGCCAATCTCGAACATGCCGAGATGCCATTGCTTGGGGGTTGCAGGATTTGAGGGGACGCTGTACACGGCTGACTCGGTGAGGGTGCGGCGGTGAGACGAGCTGTGCTCCGAGGGCCGACCGGCGTTTGCAGCAAGGTTGACCTTTGCAATGTTTGCCGTCTTTGCGTTTTGTGTCGCAATCTTCTGGAGAGGGATCTGGTGAGGCAGCTTCATGCGGTTGGCTGCTGATTGCGAGGTTGAAAGGCCAGCTACTGAAGGCTGGGTCTTGTCAGAACCGCTGACACAAAGCTCATCAGGCAGAAACATACCTTCTTGGCCTTTTGGTAGGCTGCATTAGACGCAGCCTGGTCGTCATTCTCGTCGTGGATCGTGGTGCGCTCAAAAGCGGCCTCGAGGTTTGCAACGTCGGTCATGGCGGTGTGATGCAAGCTGTAGCGACAGGAGACGAGTCGAGGTCAGAGGGGGCAACCAAGTCCTGCTGCTTCACTCGGAGCGCAGATGTGTCTTGGAGAGGAGGGCGTGATTGTCACCTGGAGATGGGGGATGGGTTCAAGGTTGTGGAGGATGGCACGGCCAACAAGTCATCAAACAAGCGGGTTTCGAGCGTTGCTATGGGTGACGGGGGCTTGCCGGACGAGGGCCTGGCGATCGGGGCATCGGGGCTTTGGTTCGCGCCCCACCCCAGCCGTGTCCCCGCCATCGACAATGCACTTATGGGTATAGTCATTCTTGCAAAGGGTGCCGTTTTGTCTTTGTCGCATCCGTGGTGAACACATCATCGTCGCGTGGCCTGCACCATCATGGCATCACCAAACGGCGCCCCCGCAGACACCGTCGCGCCCGGCCATGCCGACACATCCATTACCAAGGAGGGCTTCAAGATCACGACGCGCAAACTGCCAATCCTCAAGGCGGGGCCCATTGAAGAAATGACCAAAAAGCTGGGGATTGCGCCACCAGAAATGATCTTTGGCGACAACATGGTTCGAATCGATCATGAACAGAGCGGCTGGTACATCGAGTTCAATGCCTTTGACGCGCTGGACCGAGTCGACAAGACGGGCGAGAACATGTTCAAGGTCGCATATTCCAAGGAGTGGCAGCAGAACCGGTTAGTGATGGATATCTTGAAAGCAGTGCGCACCGCTAACACGCGCCAGGCAGAAGCAGTTTGAAGACATCAAAGAAGTTGTCAAGCCCTTTGACTGGTCCTACAGCACCGACTACAAGGGCACCACCCCCTTGACACCCGCATTCGAACCGACTGAGACGCAAATACCCCTCGCCCTGCTCAAGCGTCCCGACCCGATACACTTCTTCGATGAGCTCGTGCTTTACGAGGACGAACTGGCTGACAACGGCATTGCCATGCTCTCCTGCAAGGTGCGCGTCATGCCCCAGCGCCTGCTCTTGCTTGTTCGCTTCTTCATGCGCCTGGACGACGTGGTTTTCCGAATTCGAGACACCAGGATATTCATCGAGTTTGCAGACAAGGTCATCTTGAGGGAGTACACAGCCAGGGAAGAGAAGTACGAAGAGGTGCGGAAGAAGTTGGCCGGCAGGAAGGAAGATGTGCTGGCCGCCATGAGGGATCCGAATCGGTTGACCGAACATGTACCTATTGTCGAGCACAAGCTAGAGGGACTGCAACTAAAGTGAGAAGCCGTGTGCGCCATCAGTACACGCGTACGCACAGCGTGTTGTCTGATGGCAAGCGGCGAAGATGTGCCCACAACCCAAGTCTGAATTTTTTTAAACAGGCGGGCTGGGTTCGTCAGTCACACAGACCCTGCCTAGAGTTGACACTCGGCAGTTTACCATGTTTGCCCAAGCGCACTCACGTAGTACATAAAGCGGATCCCAGGTAATGCTTGGGGGACGGCTCTGCAGGGTTTCGGAGGCCGGCATGGTGCTTGAGCTGATCATTGATACTTACATAAGTGCCGGTCCGGTTCTTGTACGCGTAGGCAACCCGGGATATGTGGCTGTGCCTGATAAGGCGGACATGTCGGACATGTCCGATGTGTCCGTGACAAGACGCCGTGTCTACCTAAAATTACTTTCCGAGTCTGCTTATTACACGTGGCTGGGTTACTGCTTGTAGGGCCGACCACTATCATAGCTACTTACAAGAAAATGTTCATGTATGTGCTACAAAGCCAGCCATGAGCACATGCCTGATTGTGTGCTCGTTCTAGTGCAACTCGGCATAGAAGACTTGCATCTAGACCCAACTCCAGCCCGCTGCGTATACTGCGGGAGCCGCAGCTGCAGACAATAGAACTACACACATTACGTCTGCCAAGTTCACTAAGCTGAGGTTATGTACAGCTAAAGATGCACGAGTGAGACTGTACGCAATCTACCATGTCTGAAAATACGGTATTACTTCACGGCAAGAGCGAGATACGGACTTTTTCGGCTCTTGTCTCGTAAGGAACCAGAATGCCAGCCTGTTTGGTACAGCGCATCAGCGGCTTCATGCAGCGTCGATCCTGTGCGTCGGTACATGCAGTCCGCTTGCATGGCAGAAAAGTAAACGCCATGCCCGCACTTGAAGATTTGCTTTCTGGCAGCTGCATTCGTGCAGTCCGTCGAAATGTCTTGCTGCTCGGCCGAGCGGTTCTCGAAATGGTCAACAGTCGTTGGTACACCGCCCCCTTTGCACAAGATAAGTAAGATGAGAAGGTGTGTTGGGTCAGCATAGTCCCATAGGGGGTGAGCATACGTACCCACATGTGTTATATGACGTCTGGAATCCTGGTGAATTCTAGTGGCTTCTGGGGCTACCTGGGCAAAGCTTAAGGCGCGCGCGCCGAGAGGCCCGAGCGATCATTTCGTCCGGGACAAGGGTAGCCGTACGCTAACTGGTCCATTCAACACCACAACAACCGAGCGTCTCTGACACGCATTCGGAACCAAGCAATGCAGTTATTGTCAATTTCATGGCTTGCAAAGACTCGCCTTTGCAAATCTAACCCTTCTCTACCGGAATGTGTTGTGAAGGCATGACTTGAGTTAATATGTATGTGTGACGTCCCATCAAAGCCATGTGTTTACCCTTATGTTCTTGTTCCGCATATGTCCGGCGGAGCGTATTACACGCTGGGCGGAGCGTATTACATACTACGTCACATAGAAGATCGACCGGACTAACCTTAGCGCCCAGGGTGTCTCGGAGGGACATCTCGGACCTGGCTCAGGTCTGGACCAACAATTCGGTGATGCGTATGGAGGATGCGATCGGTGATGCCTCCGCTCGACCCACGTACATGGGCCTGGGCAAGTAATGTTAGACGAATACTCCTCATGCTACTCGTCCGACGCACTGGTCCAAAGCTTAGGAACACGGCTATGAGGAGATTCCGCTTGCCGGCATGTTATGACCACATAGGTCCGAATAGTGGCCAACACACTGATATACCTTCTCGTCCCTGTGTAAAAAAAGGGTTCAAGTCGAACGACACTTGATTTCCCACGCCGACAACAGCTATTGTGACACGCATAATGGCTTCCAACTCTTTCGGCGAGGGTCTGTTTTCCTCTGACCATTCATCACAACAACAAGACAGATCACAACATGACGGTTCCTCACAGCTAAACAAGGAGGAGGTAGTGCCCCTCGAACAGGTTGACACCTCTACTTCATCCGAATCCTCACACACACGACATGGATCCGACGGCGAGTCGCAAAGGGTCAAGAGAGTAGAAACATCATCTTCAGCCGACCGTAGGGGCTCAGTGGGTCTGCAACGTCGGGTGACACGGTCAGAAATTGACGCAGACGGAAGGCGAGAACTAGCACGCATCCTCTCAACAGCGTCTGTAAACGTCACAAGGCAATTGAGCATTCCGGCGCCAAATGACCCAAGGGTAGACCCCACCAGCGATGCTTTCGATCTCTCCAAGTTTTTGAACATGTTCCGTCACCAGCTTGAGGGAGAAGGTATTGAGATGAAGAAGCTCGGTGTCGCATTCAAGAACCTAAACGTTTTTGGTTCCGGAAATGCTCTTCAGCTTCAGCAGACTGTGGCAGATATGTTCATGGCCCCGTTTCGGGCCAAGGAAATGTTCGGAAAGACCGAACGCAAGCAGATTCTGCACTCATTCAACGGTCTAATCCGGGCTGGCGAGCTCTGCATTGTGCTCGGTCGACCCGGCTCGGGTTGCTCTACGCTGTTGAAGGCTCTTACTGGCGAACTACACGGTCTCGATACGGACGATTCAGTAATCCACTACAACGGTGTCCCCCAGAGCCGCATGGTTAAGGAATTCAAGGGTGAAATGGTATACAACCAAGAGGTCGATAAGCATTTCCCCCACTTGACCGTCGGTCAGACTCTGGAATTCGCGGCAGCTGTCCGAACACCATCGAATCGCCCACTCGGAGCGAGTCGTGACGAATTCTCCCAATTCATGGCCAAGGTTGTTATGGCTGTCCTTGGACTTTCACATACATACAACACCAAAGTTGGAGATGATTTTGTACGCGGAGTCTCTGGTGGCGAGCGCAAGCGTGTCTCCGTTGCTGAGATGATGTTGGCTGGAGCTCCTTTGGCTGCATGGGATAACTCAACTCGTGGTCTCGACTCGGCTACAGCATTGAAGTTTGTCAACTCTCTAAGAATCGGCTCTGATTTGACTGGAGGTGCAGCTGCGGTTGCCATCTACCAGGCTAGTCAAAGTGTATACGACTGCTTCGACAAAGCCACAGTTCTCTACCAAGGACGTCAGATCTACTTCGGCCCTGCGGACGAAGCCAGGGGCTTTTTTGAGCGACAAGGATGGTAAGAAACTACTAGCAAAAAGTTTGAACATTGTACTGACACGTCTTAGGCACTGCCCGCCTCGACAGACTACGGGAGACTTCCTTACAGCCGTCACCAATCCAGAAGAGCGAAAGCCCAGAGAGGGTATGGAAAACAAGGTTCCTCGCACTCCTGAGGAATTTGAGAAGTACTGGCTCGAATCCCCAGAGTACCAAGCCTTATTGGAAGAAATTGCCGATTTCGAGGCGGAGCATCCAATCAATGAGCACGCTACTCTAGAGCAGCTTCGCCAACAAAAGAACTACGCCCAGGTTCGTATCCAAAAAAGACTCTGCAATGTTTCTCTCATATTGACCACCGTCCAGGCCAAGCATGCTCGCCCCAAGTCCCCCTACCTTATCAGTGTTCCCCTACAGATCAAGCTCAACATGCGACGAGCTTACCAGCGTATACGTGGTGATATCGCTTCGACTGCAGTACAAGGCGGTCTCAACGTTGTTATCGCCCTCATCGTCGGTTCCATGTTCCACGGCCAATCTTCAGGTACCTCCTCGTTCCAAGGACGTGGTGCTACCATCTTCCTCGCCATCCTATTCAGCGCCCTGACATCTATTGGTGAAATCGCCGGTCTCTACTCCCAACGCCCCATAGTCGAGAAACACAATTCGTACGCCTTCTACCATCCGTCTTCCGAAGCGATTGCTGGAATCGTAGCGGATTTACCGGTCAAGTTCGTACAGTCTACTTTTTTCAATATCATTCTGTACTTTCTGGCTGGCCTA